ATAAGTTGAAAAGTACAATGAGGGGAGAGAAGGATGTCTACACTGCCGCTTTTACAGTTAAATCTGGGAGTATGGGTGAATTGTAGTCCACGAAACATAAAGAAGCTGGAGTATCGGTATCAGAGGGGGACTGCCAGGTCTCAGTGAGTGCAAGAAGTGTGAGGGAATTAGAGATTAAGAGGTTGTGTATGGCTGTTGATTTGGTATTGCAACAGGCATTCCAGAGTGCACACTGAAGGTTGGTTGAGGAGGATAAACTGCAGGTTATTTGGATGAGGTTTGTGTGGTTTCTAGTTGTGTTAGTGTGAGCAGATGAGGTGAGGGGCCCTCGGTAGTGAGATAAATCACCAGCTGCTAGAAGTAGGGGGAGAGATAGTGACAGGAGGTGTGAATGGGTTTTATCTGGGCCTGGTCTAGGATGAGATTGGGTGAGAGTAGGAGAGAAAGAATAGAGAAATTAGTGCAGCGCATGAGATGAGAGAAGGGAGGAGTGTAGCAGAGATGTGGATAAGACAAGATAATTTTAAACAAATGGTACAATATCTTCAAATACCATTTGACATTAGGACACTACGAAATACATGTTGGGACAAACCTGGAGTTGTATTACAATAAGGTTCTCCTCTTCCACAAGAACCCATATATACACCCCATCTTGGAAAGGAATTGTCTCTCCTGGGCTCTTCCATCATGTCACTCATTAAGACTGCTACCTTTTTCTTTTATTAAAAGTTTCTACAGAAATATTCAGTTTAAACTATGCTTTATAAGTGCTAAGTTGCTACCCCATCTGTGGTCAAAATTTTGTTAGTAAGACGTTTAAGATTTTATGGTTTAAAAAATAAAATTTAAATTTTCATTGTAATGGTTTTGTCGTGCCTGGAGGAGTCCATGGTGTTTGACTATGCCTTCTAGACATGTGCAATTCGTTTTGGTCCGAATGCGAATTCGGAAAAATTACGGGCAATTCGGACATTCGGGTACTTCCGAATGTCCGAATAGATGATTTTCCGAAGTGCCGAAGTGTCGAATTACAGTATTGCGTAAGAACTAATATACTTACCCAGTGGAAAAATGAAGAATGTTACACTGTATACAATTTTAAATAAAAAGTATACAAACATAGCCAGGATTCAGCTGTAAGCATTTGCAACACTTACATTTTATATGAATGTATGTTACTTGATTGTTGTAAGTTACTTAGTCAGTCAAGGTAATGACAGGAATGAATAAGTAGATAACTCCCTAATTTCCACGGTATCAGGGAGCTATCTACCAAAAGGCTGAAAGACTTAAATTGGTCTTTCAGAAAAAATTTACTAATACTAAGTAAAGATTACTTAGTATTAGTAAATTATGCCCCTACTCGCTATACGCACAGGCTGCTCACTTTAAAAAAAAACACAAAAAAAAACGTCCCCCCCTCCCATGCCGCGCGAGTGGGGGCTTCTAACCTGAAGGGGGGGGGGGATCTATTGCCCCACCCCTAAACAGCGGGTGGGGGCCCTAAATTAGAATAAGGGGGGGGGGACCTATTGTCCTCCCCTCCCAGCCCCCACCCCCTCCTGGTGAGTGGGGGCCCTAAAGTAAAATAATGGGGGGGGACCTATTGTCCTCCCCCCGACCCCCATCCCTGAGCGGCGGGTGGGGGCCCTAAATTAGAATAAGGGGGTGGACCTAATGTCCTCCCTCCTGGCCCCCCCCATGAGCGGTGGGTGGGGGCCCTAAATACTAATAAGGGGGGGACCTAATGTCCTCCCCCGGCCCCCACCCCTGAGCAGTTTGTGACTAAGTGGCTACAAAAAAAAGACTGGACATACCCCACTTGCAATGCCTTGGGTTGTGTACTTTTGCAAATGGTATGCCATCATGGGGGTAATTCTCATTCCTGGGCTACCACACGGTCTCAAAGGTAACATACTAATCTGGCAATTTTGAATCTGAAAAAAATGAAAAATTAAGTGTGCTATATTTGACCCTATAACTTTCCAAAACACCGTAAAATCTGTTAATCGGGGGTACTGTTTTACTCGTGAGACATTGATGAATACAAATATGTGCATTTTACTGCAGTAAAAGCGAACAGGATCATGATATTTACAGCTAAAATGTCAGACGGAACTACCAATTTTTTTTTTTTTTTTAAACTCTTAATTTCTCACAGTTTTTTAATTTTATTCATAATAAATAATGTTTCATACATGAATAGTTAATGAGAAATGAAAGCCCTGTTTCTCCTGAACAAAATGATATATAATAAATGTGGGTGCTCTTAATATGAAAGAGGTGAAGTACGGTTGAACAGACATATAGCGCAAATTACTAGATTTTACTAATTACATGACGTAAAGTCATGATTTTATTAAGGAGACAGAGGCGAGTATTAGGCTTATCTCTTTCTTTTATTCCTCAGCAGCAAAGAAAGCGAAGGTATTCATAATATAGAAAAAAATTAACAAATACCCTCACAGGGTTAACCATTACATCACTATCTCCTAGCCAATGGGAACAGTCCACATATCATATAGTCCCATGTGACCCCCATCTCTTCCTCTTTCTTGCTGATGCCGAAGCTAATATTAAATAACAGCAATTAACTAAACAACTGAAACATTAGAAACAGGCGGGTAGCCAAAATCTTGGCGACTAATCCTTCTTATAGAGAGCCGGATCTTCGCAACTGATCCTCTCGAACTGTGGAAGATGTCGATGTTGCAGGGGTGTCATAACTTTCAGGCTAGAAGGGGACAGAGAGAACAAGTGGTAAAATATATTCCCCCAACTTTTTTCATATTATCGTAGTATTAAGCCATCACCAGTATAAACATTTACATGTCTAAATAATACATATATTAGGTAACTGTTGAAGATTTTTAAGAGTCACGCATTAAACAACAAACTACTCCATGTACTATGAACACTTATTACGTACCTGGGTTGGGATACAAAAAAGGTCCAAACGTGCCATATCTGGGTGGGCCAATACTCGCCTCCGTATCCTTAATAAAATCATGTAATTAGTAAAATCTGGTAATTTTATTAAAGGACACAGAGGCTCTTATTAGGCTATTTAAAGCTGTGAAATAACCATAGATGAAACATGTTCTGTCGGTCTAAAATAGTGTTCTCTAAACATAGATTCACGGGACCAATCTGCCATTCTAAGAAGGTTTTCTAATCTGCAGCTCAAATTGAAAACCTTTGAAGCCATGGCCCCTCTAGTAGAGTGAGCGCCATACATATATGTATCCACGTTTGCCAAGGTCATGATCCATTTCACCCATCGGGCTAGCGTCACTGTGGATATCGGTTGATGAGGCATTTTGGTGGCAAAAAACAGCTCTTGATGTATTGGACTCCTGAATCCCAGGGTTTGTTTCTCGTATTCTCGTAGGCAAGCCACCGGGCAGAGATTAACGTTACATGGAAAAGCTGGATAGGAAACCGAGGTAATCGATTATTTAGTGCGCCTGGAAATATTGAACGAACGGGGTGAGAGATCGTGCATCTATGTCCAATGCTCGAACATCTGAAACCCGTTTGCAGGATATCAGACAGAGGAGCATGGCCAGTTTTGCTGATAGTTGTTTAAGTGTGAGTCCCTCATTTCGTGGCCAGGATTCCAAGAAACGAAGGACCAGATTCACATCCCACAACGATGTGTATCGAGGCTGGGGTGGTCAAGCAAACTTTATGCCTTGATGGCCAGCACACCAGCAGTTGTTGGCCAGCCGGAGACCCATCGAGGCCTTGATGGCCGGCAGAGATTGCCGATCTGTAGACGTTGGTAAACCAAACCATGGTTTTATAAATTGGTAAGGAAACGTAATAGGTAATTCACAGGAGCCCATACGGGATCCACCTGTTGTTCCATGCACCAACTACTCCAGCCGTTCCAGGCATATTGATAGGATCATCTCATTCCAGGTGCCCATGCTCCTGCCAGTAGGTCGAGAGTGTCCTGTGGAACATCTGGTATGACCCAGAGTCCCCAGAAAGGAGCCATGCCAAGAGTCTGAGGTTCTCCTGAATTAGAAGGGGGTGTGGATTGCCTTCTGGGTCCAGTAAAAGATGTTAGACATCGGGAAGCAATCTCAGAAGGTCGATGGACATCTTCATGAGGGATGGGAACCAAGTTTGAGCAGTCCAGAATGGAGTTATGAGGACCAATGATGTCCGAGCTCGTCTGAGATGTACTAGCGTCCGTGCCATGAGGGCGAAAGGCGGAAATGCATATAAACGATCTCTCGGCCAGTGCTGGAGAAAGGCATCCGTTGCTAAGGCGTCTGGGTCTGGTCTCCAGCTGAAGAACGTTGGTAACTGGGAGTTCAGATGAGATGCAAAAAGGTCGATGGACATCGGACCCCAGAGCGTTTGAAGTTGTAGGAATGTGTTGCGGTCCAGTCGCCAATCGCTGGCGTCTTGCGGATGTCTGGAGTTTCAATCCGCTAGTATATTGGATAGGCCGGGAATATATTCTGCGTGGACCGAAATATTGCGATCCAGGCAGTATTGCCAAAACTCTTTGGCCAGGTCCGTAAGGATCCATGATCTCGTGCCACCCAGGTGGTTGACGTAGAAGACTGCCGATATATTGTCTATTCGTAGTATGATTGAGCAGTTGGTCGTGGCTTCGAGGAGGCTCTTCAGGGCAAAGGAACCTGCCATGAGTTCCAGGCCATTGATGTGCAGTTCTTTTTCTGAGAATGACCATATTCTTTCGGTGGAGATAGGCCCACAGCGCGCTACCCAACCGTGTATACTCGCATCAGACTCTATGATGAAGTCCGGTGCCGATCTGAAGATTCCTCTGCCGTTCCATGCTTCCATGTGTTGGAGCCACCAGGTGAGTTCCTGTTTGGCTTCGTGGTCGAGTGGAACGGAGTCGGAGTATGAATGCCCCAAGCGTAAATGTGTGGCCTTTAGCTGTTGAAGGGCCCTGTAGTGGAGGGGTCCCGGGAAAATTGCCTGGATGGAGGCTGAGAGGAGGCCGATATCCTGGCCAATTGTCGTAAGGTTAATATTGGGCGTGCCAATGTCCTGCGGATTTCCTTCCTGATGCTCTTGACCTTCATGGTAGTGTTCCTTTTGTCGCGTCTATGTTGAATCCCAAGAATTCCATGGTCTGGGATGGGGTCAATATTGACTTTTTCCAATTGATTAAAAATCCCAAATTTTGTAGGAGGGCCAGTGCCCAGGAGAGGTGTTGTCAAAGCAGTTGGGTGTCGTGTGCCATGATCAACATATAGTCCAGATATATGATCATCCGTACACCTCTGCTGCATAGGAGAGCCACCACAGCTTCATCAGTTTGGTGAAGCACCGCAGGGCCGATGAGAGTCCAAAGGGGAGGCATTGTAATCTCCACGCCGTCCCCTCCCATTGGAATTGGAGAAAGTGTTGACAGTCTTTGGCAATGGGGATTGTGCAGTAGGCGTCTTGTAGGTCTAGTTTGACCATCCAGTTCTCCAATCTGAGGAGGTCTCTAAGGCAATGGATACCCTCCATTTTGAAATGGTGGTATTGCACGAATGTGTTTAGGGGGCGTAGGTTGTGTGTAGGACCCAAACATCTGTCATTAGTGTGCGCCAGGCTTCTACAAAGTGAGACAGTCTGCCCCCCACTATAGACATACACGGGGAAGGGGGTGATAGGACACTTACCATAAGGCCGTCGGCCATACGAGACGCCCCTGGTCCCTCATGACTGCCATGATCTGCCACTGACCGGGAAGAAGGGTGAAGGGGGTTTGTTCTCTGGAGGCTGAAATTTAGGTGTGGCAGGGCCTTGGTATCCCCTGTATGAACCTGGGAAGAGCGGCCGGACAGACAGCCCCGGTGTTTGCCGGCCCCACCAAAAAAATTGGGAGGGAGAACACTCTTTTTAAGTTTGTTTTTGCCTTGTCTAATGCCATAAAGGTACTGACGTAGTTGCCCAATTCCTTTATGAAGTTATCTCCGAAGAGAAATCCTTTTGCCTGTGGTCCAGGCTAAGATATGTCCATATTCACCAGTTTCCGTTTAATTTTCATAAGGATGGCCTTCCTTCGCTCCGTAGCTAGAGCTGCATTTGCATTGCTGATAAGGCATATGGAGCGTTTACCTAGAAGGTCAATTGGGGTCCCATCGGTTAAGGCCGCTTCGACCATTTCAAAGGGTCCTAACGTGTCCAGCACCTTGTCCTGGCAGTGGCGTAAGAAGTAGTCAAGCTCCTTTATTGCCTTCCAGACAGATTTTCCCAAAAATTGGGCCACTTTGGGGTCTATGTCCTGCGTGACGCAAAATACCACACTATATTACTTGTACCACCGACCACGTGATATATATGATCACATGCCCCTGCGGACTTTCCTATGTCGGCAAAACCGACCTGACCTTGAGAGATCGTATAAGGGGACACCGTCCCACTATAACTACAGAATTAAGGGATCAACGTAGTGATAAACCAGTCGCCAAACATTTTTTACAAATGGAACACAGACTTCCAACTTTACGATTCATTGCCATCAACCATATTCCACTGACATCCAGAGGAGGCGACAGATCTAAGATGTTACTACCAGGGCTGCCATCAGAAATGTTGGGGCCCCTGACACAGCTCAAGGTCTGGGCCCCACGGTGCCTGCACCCGAGTCCGCCCAAAGTGCTGCCCCCTCCAAATCTGCCCACAGGGATGCAGTGTCTGCAGGGCCGGTACAAGGATTTTTGTCGCCCTAGGCAAAAGTAACGTTTGCCGCCCCTCCATGTGACATCACAATGCCCCACCCATATGATCTGCCATGTTAACTAACACCAGTGCTGCAGTGCCGCCGTGTTTACATTAAAAGGCCTGCAGGGACAGGCTAGACACCAGAACCACTACATTAAGCTGCAGTGGTTCTGGGGACTATAGTGTCCCTTTAATGTGAGGTAAATTAGAGATTAGTGCCACGAATAATATACTAGATTGCCTACTTACAACCAGATGAGGATGATGATGGGCTCTAGCTGCTGTCTGGCTCCACTGGTCTGGTGTACAACAGGCTCTCTGGAGGCGGTTTGTAACTGTGGTCACAAAAATCACTGTTCTGGGAGAACAGGAAGCAGCTCCATTTTTTTGAGGGCCCTTTACACAGCTCAAGGTCTGGGTTCCAGGGTCCACCTTCATGTTCCACCAATGAGTTTGTTCACAGGGAGTGGAGTGTGTGTGGGGGGATGTCCTGATGTGTGTAAGGAATGCATTGTGTGAATCTGTGTTTGTATGTGTAAGGGCTGCAAGATGAGTTTGTGTATGTATGGGATGCAGTGTGTGCGTCTGTAAGGGATGCATTGAGTGTGTGTAAGGGGTGCATTGTGTGTTGCTGTGTGTAAGGGATGCATTGCTTGTGTACGTGTGTCTGTGTGTAATGCATTGTGTGTTTTTCTGTGTGCAAGGGGTGCATTGTGTGTGATGGATGTCAATCTCCCCCCCTCCCCCTCCAATTTCCTTCTTCTCCCCCTCCAATTTCCTTCTTCCCCCTCCAATTTCCTTCCTCTCCCCTCCAATTTCCTTCCTCTCCCCCGTCCTCAAATTTCCTTCCTCTCTCCCTCCCTCAAATTTCCTTCCTCTCTCCCTCCCTCAAATTTCCTTCCTCTCCCTCCTCCCACTCAAATTTCATTCCTCCACCCCCCTCCCATTTCATTCCTCCCCCCCTCCCATTTGTTCCTCCACCTTCCCATTTCATTCCTTCCCTCAATTTCATTCTCCCTCTACTCCCGGCGGCGGGCAGGCGAGCGGGAGCACTCTCCTCTGTGTGCTTCCTCTTCAGCTCCCTCGCACACCGTACTGATGCCAGAGCTGGAAGATGACGCCATCTTCCGGCTCCGGCATCAGTACTGTGCGCGAGGGAGCTGAAGAGGAAGCACACAGAGAGTGCTCCCTCGCGCGCCCGCCGGGTGTCAGCAGGGCCAGCCTCTGGGGGGCCCTGAGGTGACCGGCTGCTGGGCCCCCCAGGAGAAGAGGCTGGCCCTGTGGGTACATACCGGGGTCGCTGGGCCCCCTGCGACCCGGTATGTACCCACTGAATGTGGGGCCCGGACGACCTGAGCAGTCCGGGCCCATGACAACCGTTGCGGTTGTCATGCCCTGATGGCGGCCCTGGTTACTACAATGGGAGGCACAATGGATTCACCGATTAGATACGGTGACACCGAAAGGACTTTAAGGACTCAACATATTGTGCTTTCTATGTTCTTATAATTCAGTTATTTGGGTACATTTAAATAGGTATTTGAAATCTATTTCATTTTTTATTTATTTATTTTTTATTTATCTATTTTTTTAATTTATTTTTTCATTCATTATTTCTTTATTATTTTTAAAAAATATATTTAAACATTTTATTTTTTTTCTTATTTACGCTAAATTTTTGTGTCATTGAGTTGCCATTCCTGTAGATCAGAGATAATTCCTACAGTCATGGATATACTATCTTTCCATTAGTAGTTTTGCTATAATATATCTGTCTCATATATTTTTGAGATACATATCTTTGCTTTCCTTGTCTGAATATAATTGAGATACTTTTTGAATCCCTTCCTTAGTGTGTGTGTGTGTATATATATATACATATATATATATATACACATATACACATATACATACATACATATACACATACATACATATACACATACATACATATACACATACATACATATACACATACACACATACACACATACACACACACACACACACACATACATACATACATACATACATACATACATACATACATACATACATACATACATACATACATACATATATATATACACATATACATATACATATATACACACACACACACACACACACACATTTGTGTAAGGGGCAAAATAGCCGTATATGGAGTAAGGATCCAGCATAAGCTTAGGATAGTGTAAAGGGAGCAAGTCGGTTGTGGTGTGCCGATACCGACGATACGGTAGGCCTGTAAATAAAGAGGGCCCACCAAGGAGTAAGAAAGTAAAGTAAATGGAAAGAAAAGAGAAAGTGTTGAAATGAGGAGTGGGTGGGAGGGTCATTCTGATGCTGACCTCAAGCGATATGAGTCAGGTAAGGGGTGTCCCTTATATAGGGGAGTGAATTAATTTAAGCCCCTCCCACAAATACAGGCAAAACTGCCTTAATACTTGTGTAAGGGGCAAAATAGCCGTATATGGAGTAAGGATCCAGCATAAGCTTAGGATAGTGTAAAGGGAGCAAGTCGGTTGTGGTGTGCCGATACCGACGATACGGTAGGCCTGTAAATAAAGAGGGCAAAAATGAATAATCAAAGATTTAATACAGTCAACAAATATATACAAATTAACCAGACATTTCCTTAAATGCATTACAGTATTTAATTCCTGAAAGGATTTTGAAGGTAGGAATCTAGGACCGAAAGTGGGCACCATTTGTTGTGGGTAGGATAGTATGTTATCTCTACTGTTGGTGCATGTTGACTTATTTAGGAATGTGGTAGAGCCAGTAGGTAATGATATATGTGTTTACGTACGTGGGATCGTTGAAGACAATGATCTGTCTGAGTGGTGGTGATGGTAGTGGATTCTCTGGCCAATGTGCATGGCTGGTAATGGCCGACTTGGTAGTATAATTGAATGGTTGTAGATCTAATAGGTCCGATAAGGATGAACAGTTGGATGGCTATTGGTAATCTCTGAGAGGAACGTGGGGGAATGGATTCCTGAAAACCTCTGAGTATATTCTTTTCTGGTATGATAGCATGAAGTTTATGGTAGTTTTGGCCATAGGTTATCATGTGTTGTTGAATGCCTGTAAAATATATAATTAATGGTGTATGAGATAGTTTAAGTTGGCAAAAATAAGCAAAACTTAGGAGAAATTTTGTGACACAGGTTGAGCTATGTCGTGTTCCAATGAGATTCTTTAAGCCAGGTGAAAAGCTGTGTTATGCGTTCTACAAGTATGGGACGAAAGTGCTAGGTGGGATAGTGCATGCTATGCTGCATGAGTATGTCTAATCCAGGATTTTGTCTCTGGAACGAAAGAGTGGACGTGACTGTATGGGTGGCTGTAGGAAGCGTATGATGAACATGCCTGGAATATAAATGAGACAGTTGTCGGCAGGGATGTATACCCCCGTCTGGTACATGAAAGTGAAATGTGATAAGTGGCCAACCAAGTGAGTTCCCCAGAAACCTCATGAACTTATGGATGAGTAGTGGCGTTTGTTGATGATATGATATGTGCTTAGTTGTCTGAGTAACAACGGATTGATGACCCTGACCATGATTTACCCATGCCACAGCAGCTGCTACAATGGGGTAGATCTCCCAAAGGGGCTGAAGTGGTGGAAAAATTTCCAAACCTGGATGCCATGGCCAACAGCCCCAAAGCAATTGTTCCCGGTAGATCGCTGCCAAACCCGTGGTATACGCTGCGTCTGACCATCTGGTTGGAGAAGTGTCAGACAATCCTGGAAGGAACATGCTTTTACCATGCCAAGTGGTTAAGAAATCCCCCCCCCATGTGCAGGTCTGCTGTTGCTGAGGTGTCTAGGCACCTCCTCTGATCGTCATGTTGGAAGTGTGGAAAAAAGGGGAAAGTACTCTGGATGTGAAAGCGTGGTCTTGTGGTATGATTGGCATGGCAAAATTAAGGAACCTGGTAGGGATTGTAGTTCCTTGTAGTTGTAAGTACCAAGCAGGAGGTAGTGATTGATTTAGTTGAGAATGTTCCCTATTTGTCTTGTGGTAACTTGCGTGTATGGATGCCGACTCAAGTCATATGCCCAGTAATGTGAAGATAGTGTCTGGAACCTTCTGTTTCTTATGGGGTACTGGGACGCCCAAGTGGTCAACCAGACTAAGCTGCCATGAGGCTTCTAGTGAAAAATATGCTTTCTTTGAGCAACAAGAAGTCTTCTAGATAGTGTATGACTGTAATGCCTCTGGATATGTTATCATAACCAGCACAGAGTATCTGCGAATATCGATAGTAGGTTAATCTGTAGCTCGAAAGTTGAGCAGGGAAAGGATTGCCCAATTTATGCCATGTAAGTGCCAGTGTGTAGGGTAGATGGTAGCTGTTTACTGCGTTGATGATATTGGTCTTACTTAACCAAGCTTTAACCCATGCTTGAGTGATAGCTGTAAAGGTAGATCAATGGTGTTGTATAGTAAGAAGGGAGTTGAGACTTGGGGTAGCGGAGGTGTGTGGTGCCAATAAGTCTATGGTTAGTCTTTGTTTAAGGGAAGATTCCTTGTGACAATACCAATGTGTGTGTTTGGTGCCATGCTGTAAATGGTGGAGATTGGAAGACCACTCTGCAAATCTTGGCTATGAGTGTGTTTTCAGCCAATGGTTTTGTTGTGCTGACTGTAAGTGAGGGCATGCTATATTCCTTGAAGGTGTGTTTATGATACCTGTATGGGAGCCCTTTGAAGCTCCAGAGCTTTAGTAAATCTACTACAAGTCTGGAAGGGTGATGAGTCAGTAGTGTTGAAAATGCGTTGGTGTGTACAGATGGTGAGTACGTTATTTGTAAGTTGTATTGGGACACATGGTTTGTCATGTGCCCTGAACCATTTGAACATATATGCAACAGTCTATATGCAATGCAACTACTCATATCAATCGTCTCTGGTAGTTCAGAGGTGCTGGTACCTGGAGCCTGAGAGTGCTCGTCCATTTGTTTGGGACAGAACCCCTTCTGTATAGGTACCTGCACAAATAAACATCTCTACATATTCCAAATACCAACCCATCCAAGAGATGGTCAGTTCCCGATTTACCTGGAATCCCTGAATCTGACCATCACAGATACATCATCATACATATATATGCCTTGCTTCCCCAATGTGCTGGGATCATGCGTGCAGGGTTAACATCTTGTTTGTCATAAGAATTGATTGTACCAGGTAACCGAGTTTCGGTTGGTGCTGGTTGTACAGTAACGTGAGGCCAAGCCTTGTGAGGGCTGTGGTGACCAACTCGAGATTGCCAGTCTGTCATAAAATTTTTTGGCTCATGAGTTTATGAGTGAGGCTAGCATAGCCTGGGTGTCACCTGAGTTGATGTAGCTGGGCCTTCCCCTGCCTCCGTGTTGTCTGTTGATGTATGGAGGAGTTTGAATAACTCTGCTTTCCTTGCTGTAGCAGGGTAGGGGATTTGTCACCTCCTTAGGTCGGTGGTAATGTGTGGGATCGTCCAGGATCTGATTGCTGCAGGACTAGCAACATCTCCTCTGCTTGAAGGTGTATCAATTCTAGCCGGGGTGCTAGGAAGAGGTGATTCTTCACCATCTTTTGGAGAAATACTTAAATAACAATAAAGATGCAATTATTTGTACCCAGGGTTCTTGTACTGGCTTGCTAGCTAAGCCGTAAGGCGAAACGATTAGGCTTGGTGTTTTTTGGTGACTGGTGAGGCCCTGCTAGTTGCCAAGTGGCTTGAGAGGCTCTATCTATGCTTGGCGCGAGGGGATTTTGTGTGGCCACCGAACGTTGTGGCAGGATGTTGGCCTCTCGGTGACAGTAACCAGAAAAATAGGAAGGGGAGTGACAGGTGAGGCCCTCTCTATGATACAATGCGAGGCGGCTAGCTCACGAGTGGCCCGAGGGGTGTATGCCTCCGAGTGTGAGGCGGGGTGTTGGCCTCGCGGGACCACTAACCGAAGCATAATGCAGAGAAAAAAGGGGGTAATACCTATTGGGCCCTAGAACCCTAATTGCCAGTACACTATTACTATTCCAGGGAAGGTAAGAGATGGATAACTACGTGAGCAGGTGTATGTACCTGGTAGTATGGTATTGAACCTGACAATCCGTATAGGTTTTTTAGTAGTAACTGTAACCTGAATGGATAAAACCGTATGGCATAAGGAAATATGGCATAGACCAAGCTTATCTTAATACGTACAGTATATGTGAAAAGTAAAGTGCCATGATGTGTAAATATTAAACATCGTAGCCATACTGGTTAAATAGGTATCAATCTTAACCCATTAAGTGCCGTATGTACAAGTGAAAATGTGGTCTGTCCCCACCTTGTATGTTGTATGTCCCCTTGCTAGGGGAAAGTCTGTTGCGTGAGCAGCGTGCTGTGAAAAATGTATGTGAACTATATTACCAGTTACGTATATACAGACGCGTCTGCTACTGTGTAATAATATATGTATTTATACCTGATGTTGATATAGTGCTTGCTATGTGAATTGTTGTATGTCTTATTGAATGGTAGGGGTCGGTGAACATGGTGTTGCAAAATGCAAGTGCACTGGAGATCTGCCGAGTGCCCTATAGGTGGCAGTGTAGTTGGATACTGATTGGTATGTGAAATGTTGTTTGTCTGTTGACCTATAGGTGTAAGTGTTTTGGTGTTTGTAAAAACCCATGAAAATTGTCAATGTACTTGACAGACCTGTAGGTGGCAGTGTTGATAGAACAGTGTTAAAACAATCTTCTGTGTAATTTATATTGGCTGGTAAATTGTATATGACATGTGAAGACAGTTTTGCTGTTGACCAGTAGGGGTCATAAATGCTGATTGTATGGTAAAAATACCCTTTAACCCCTTAAGGACCAAACTTCTGGAATAAAAGGGAATCATGACATGTCACACATGTCATGTGTCCCTAAGGGTTAATCCTACCGTTTGACAGATAGGAGTCAGTATAAAAGCGAAAATGCTGTAGTTAGTTTGTTTGCTTATGAAGTGAAATAAAGTCTGAGAAGACTGTAGTATACCGATTGACCGGTAGGGGTCAGCATGTAGGCGAAAATGCCGTGGTTCGTTGGTTTGTACATGAAATGCAATAATGTCTGAGAAGCCTGTAGTACACTGAATGACCGGTAGGTGTAAGTGTGTAGGCAAAAATGCAGTGGTTTATTGTTTTGTACACGAAAAGCAATAATGTCTAAGAAGCCTGTAGTACACCGAATGACTGATAGGGGTCAGTGTGTAGGTGAAAAATTAAGTGGTTTGTTGGTTTGTACCTGAAATGCAATAATGTCGGAGAAGCCTGTAGTACACAGAATGACCGGTAGGGGTCAGTGTGTAGGCGCAAATGCAGTGGTTCGTTGATTTGTACATGAAATGCGATAATGTCTAAGAAGCCTGTAGTCCACCGAAAGACCAGTAGGGGTCAGTGTGTAGGTGTAAATGCAGTGGTTTATTGGTTTGTACATGAAAATGCAAACAACGCCTAAGAAGCCTGTAGTACACCGAATGACCAATAGGGGTCAGTGTGTAGGTGAAAAATGCGGTGGTTCGTTGGTTTGTACATGAAATGCAATAATGTCTGAGAAGCCTGTAGTACACCGAATGACCGGTAGGGGTCAGTGTGTAGGCAAAGATGCAGTGGTTTGTTGGTTTGTACATGAAATGCGATAATGTCTAAGAAGTCTGTAGTACACCCAAAGACCAGTAGGGGGTTTAAACAAATGATATGCATGAATATGCAATGGTTTTAGAACAGACTTAGACAAAATGCAGCAGTAAAGTGAGGACCTGACCCTTGCATGGTGCCGTGGGACTGATGCCTGGCGTAATGGGTAGGTCAACTTACGGTTTGTGAGTCACTTGGACACCATCCACAGCAATAGATTGAAGAAAGAAGGTGGTAGGCCGGAAAAGCCTGTGGCTGGATTCCTGACACAGCTCAGCTTAGAAAACCTCATGGAGTAATCAGGTAAAATGGTGTCTGGATGACCCGGAAGTGGAAATAATTCTGATGCTGACCTCAAGCGATATGAGTCAGGTAAGGGGTGTCCCTTATATAGGGGAGTGAATTAATTTAAGCCCCTCCCACAAATACAGGCAAAACTGCCTTAATACATATATATATATATATATATATATATTCATTCATTGTGACTTTATTGAGTTTTCATATATTTCCCTATGGAAAAAGTATATTTTTTCTAGATCTGCTTGAGATTCTGTCTCTCTGTGGTCTTTTTTGCTAAACTCATATAATCCTATAATGAGCCCTAATAGCAGTATGCTTTACTTTTCTTTCAATCAAATATCTATATTATGCTATACATAAATTATATTATTCTTCCATTATATTTGAAATGTTTTTAACATATGCACATTTTTCTTCCTTTTTTCCTCACTTAGAATGTGCTTGGATTTGATTTCTCACTATTATATAGCTTTCACGATACTTATCACATTCCAGATGATTTATTCACTTTTTCACACATCACTTATTAAGCACAGTCTCTAATTGAGGACAGAGGTTTGTTCTGCTATTTTTATTTCATTCCACACTTTATACACAACACGGACTAAATACCGATCATACAACTTTATTTGTTTAGCAACCGAAAACACGTCACCACGCTCCCATTACGGCACGTCACGTGACGTGACTGCGGGTTTCACTTCCGGGTTGACACGGAGGGAGTTAGGAGTTCCGTCACTATTGGTGAGTACACTTTGATATTTCCTACATATATAACTTTTCTGTATGGGTACATTGATCTTGAGGAAGACCCAAACGGGTCGAAACGTCGGTCATTTTTTTGATGTATCACTTATTGGAATATATTCACCTAAAAAGCCCTGAGAGTGCATCTCTTGCTTTATTTTTCTATATATATATATATATATATATATATTTATATCTAAGTGAATATAGCCTTGCACTCACGCTTAAAAGTCCTATTGCCTTCATGCAGTGGTGTAGTTGCCGGGTGCCAGTCCTTTTAGGGGATCTTGATGTATACCAGATAAGTAGAAATACAATACAGAAATGCACTCTCAGGCTTTCAAATCTCAAAAAGGTGCTTTATTCCATAATACAAGACAATCAACATTTCGGTCCACGAAGGGACCCTCCTCAGGATAAAGTGACTCAAATATCAATCTCTAATAACTACAAATGTATACCTATATCAATTAAATCAAAGTGACTTACCCAGGTGTAGTGTGTACCGCCCGGCGTTCCCTTCAACTCACCGCGCATGTGCGGACCCCACGTGAACTCATGTTGACCCGTTGTCACGGCAACGTGGTTAACATCTCCATAGGAACCACTACGGATCCAGAGTAAAATTAAGTGCCGGGTGAATCACCTTAGTGAATGTAAATATAAGTAATCAAAATAATGAAGAAAGTAATGAAAAAAGTGCCCATACACCAGACATAAAGATTTAAAAAATACTGATGAAATAGCATGCAGATCACATATGCAAAGGCAGCTGCTACAAAATATGAGCTATATATATATTAATAGCCATCTTTAAAAATATGATGTCTGTAAAAAAAAAAAAAAAGGTTTGCTATCAGAAAGTTTGAAAGTTGTTAATACAAAAAAATGTCATCACCTAATGGCATTTTGTTGTGGTTGAGCACAGTAGGAGCTCGAGTCCAAAATTCTTGGAAGGTGACAGCACTTAGAATTCGGGACTCATATAAACAATGCTACTTGAAAACAACAGCGATTGATAAGACAGTAAGGCAACAGTTATTGATTGCAGCACTGAAATTTCATTTAGTTTTTATATGTATTATTAATGATAAAATCAGCCTTGGGAGAGTTTACTACCTCCAACTCGTGTTACTATCTCTTTAAGAGAGGTCTAGCAACTTCTAAGTAAATATGCTTAGTGTAACCTTGTCTTTGGCAGAATGTGTAAATGCAGTCTCAATCATATATATGTTGATGGGCAGGATTCTGGAATGTTTTGTGAGATGTGAAAGTGTTAGCACTTCCTGGAAATCTGACACTTCCTACAGGAGCTGTGTGCAAGGTCACTTATACCTTTAAAATAACAAGTGTGGCTGCATCTAATCAAACAAATCGGCTTTAACAGAGTTTTTATTTGCATATTGATAGCCTGAATCTTGACAGCAGCAGTAAATGGTACGTTGTGAAATTATACAATGTCAATGAGTTCGAATTAATGTACATTTTACTTTGAAATGTGGAGGATGGTAAATATTTGCTTGTGTGTGTGTGTAATTTAAAAAAAAAATCATTTTAACTGGACCTGTAACCTAATTTTCTAGAAATTATATAATTTTACATGTATGTATCAGGGCACTCCCACAATACCTAGAACACAGGAACCTGCACTATATTCTGGGAGACGCATGATTGGCATTATTGGAGTACATTGACTTGTAAAAACCCCTATGTGCTATATGTGCTATAATAGCCAGCAACCAGATGGTACCATCTTAAATCTGGTTGTCAACCTGTGTTAATTTTGCTATTCCACCCCCCACCCCTCCCCCCATAAAAAGAAAAACCTACAAAAAAAAAAAGCCAAGAAGCATACAATCCAAACACCGTAAGAACTTAATCTTGCTGAAATGCTTTGTGTGTGAAGTATCTTTTTCAGTTTACAAAAAGGGAAGATTTTAATAAAAATTGGCACTGTTATAAATTAAAGGGTTACCGAGTTACACCCTGTTTTAACTTTGTTTTCCTATTTAAAATGCTCTGTTGTGCACTATTTAGTTGGCACTATTTAACATAAATGCTCTATTGGGCAATATTTACTAGGCACTATTTAACTGATTCTTGGTTTTGCCAATTATTAGAGATGATATTCTGCATATTTCTGATAATTGGTATTGATCTAGAAATCTACCAATATTGCTGATAATTTACTCAGCTCTCCCAATCACCGCCAAGGCACTTGGTTGCAACCTCACGTCACCCAACCCCCCGCCACCCCTACTCCCAATGGGTCTCTGCATGCGGAGCTCAACCAACGGCACGGAGGTAAGATCGTAAATAATCTGTATCGGCTCTTGAAAAATCTGTCATTCCCTACTATTTACTAGGTCCAAAACTGAAGGATGCCTTTCTATAAGCAATGTATTGGACTGTGCCATCGAGCCTTACGCACACTGTCCTACAGGCTTCACATTGCAAGTATGCTCACTGCGTTGATTACTCCCATTGCCAGCATGCAGTGTATTTTTTGCACAGTCTTGACGTTAGTCAGTCCGGAAAAGAGTTCCAGGCTGTGCCGGATGTGGAACTAGACTTAAGCACAAAATGTATAATTTCTCGGTATGGGTAGCATTTCAAGCTGAAATTCTGCACGTATAGACTGCTTGCACCAAGACCACTTCTAAAGACAGATATGGTGGCTGGAATAACCCTTTAATGTTACGCCTCAATTTTTTTCAGCAAAATCCAGAAAGTTGGTGTCTGTCATTTTTCTTCTATATCCACTTTCTAATTTTACAAGACTACAATACTTTTTACTTCCTTATATACAAATGTATAGATTTATACGTTTATAAATATGTAAATGTTTATAAGTAAATTCTTTCCATGTTTCAGATTCCTGCACTTATGGCTTCTAGCAGCCTTGTACTGCTCACTGGACTAATAGTGCCATTTTGTACGGGAATGGTCTGGATCCTCTACAAGTACCGCTTTTGGAAAATGGATACACTGGTTGTTGATGTGAAGACTCAACAGGCCCTCCGTCGATATGTTTTATTTGAATCTGTGCATGGAAAACCAGACAGTGTGTTGCTGACCTTTAAGGAATATGCAAAGCAAGATCGTCAGATAAAGGGTTTACTGTTTACTGCAGAACAAGGTCTGTTGGGTAAAAAAATGCTTCCTTGTCTCTGTTAATTTCGTTCTACCTATGAGGTCACTTCCAATATTCCAATGTTTAAAAAAACACCTTAGACACACCTTGGTAATCCCTAAATCCTATACTGTTAGGTGAGGAGGGTTGAGGAGCACTGCTTTAAATGGTTACTCCAGGCACAATGACCACTTATGTAATTTGAAGTGTTCATGGTGCCTGGAATCTGTATGTGTAGCATTTTTCTATGAAATACTATACGTTTACCCCTGTGCTACTACAGGTGTAACTCCACCTCATGCAGTGTCATTGGGGTGTCATTAGCCAGCCCAGAACAAGAGTTCTGGAATGGCTAATGAGAATTCTGTGTAAATTTGGCATCTCTTGTCAGCACGCAAAGCATACTGGAAACAGACAGCCAAAGACGACAACCTCCACACACACCCATGTCCTTCCCTAAACCTGTTCTATTTGACAACCATCAAGCAAGGAAAAGTGATATGAGGGGAGGAGGATCAGGTTGAGGGGCAACTTGGCCTTGGAGCTGGAAAGGCCAAGTTGCTGGAAAGGAAAGTGGGCCAATTTCTTTTTTTTATTGTTTTTTTACTTGGAAGGATAGTAAAGTTTACTGTGACCAAAAACAGTGTTTTCTTACAACACTGGTATTTGGTTAGAGTTACCCTATAAAAAGCTCTTAAGATCTGAGTTTGTTCAATATTTACTGGATAAAACAGAGGAAAACCATTAGAACTAAAAGATTCTTTCATCTGCCAAGCAAAAATGAAACAAACTTAGACCATTACAGGCCAATTTAAAGGGATATTGTGGATATAAGGAGAGACCTAGGGGGAGAGATTCTATGTTTTTTCTGTGTTTGATTAAATGAATAATCCACTAGTTATGATTTAGGAATTTAGAGTCATACTGGGAAAATGTGCTGGTAATGGTAAACTGCGCGTACTGTTTAAGTGTTAAAAAATTTTTTTTTTTTAAATCTACATCTTGGATGATACAAATATCACAGCCATTTCTATAAATGCACAGTATCTAGACTGATTGAGGTAATTTAAGCTTAATTATACGCAATTTTCTGTCCACAGATATTTTCCTTGCTGATGTTGTAAAAAAATATAACCCTCTTACTGCTGTCGCATTGGGCACACAGTGCGGATATTCTGCCATACAACTCTTGACTCTGCTTCCCTGCAATGGCAAACTGTATGCCGTGGAACACGATGAGAACATGGCAGAGTCAGCTGAAGAAATGATATTAGTATCTGGCTTCAAAAACCAGCAGGTAATGGTGATGGTGACATATAATGCTTGCATTCCAATGTCTAAGCCTTCCTATGATAGGTCATAATAAAACCAATCAATAATGGAAGTTTTGACCACAAAATGTTTGGTTTGATCTCTGCTGTAGAAGTCCATTTGTGAAGTTAAAGCCATAGGTAATATATTATACCAGCATAACTGATATAAGAAAGCAATATTACATATAATTAAAAGTTCAAAATAGTGTATAATAAAGAAATTGGCTGGTGTAGATTTTTCTATTGGTATTGGTATGATAACTAATAAAATTCCAAGAAAAAGACTTTAAAAGGTTTAAAATGAACACAGGTTTGTTTTACTAAATAATGTAGTATGTTTTAAGCCTTGGGGTAATTAGCCTCATCCCTGTTAATTCTAGGTTCTCATGACCGGTATATAGTCGCCATAAGGGCATTCGGAACTTTGGACAAACCCCCCACATACCTTTCCCAATAAAACATGGACACTGGGGTATATGGGTCAAATTGTCCACAGCTTTTATTAAATAGTAATAATAACTTAACACAGAATTAGGTCATTGCCCTATACCCTGCCTTCACGTCCGTATCCTTCTGTTAGATATTAAAGGCAATGACCCCACTATAAATAACATTATTCCAACATGAACAAAAACGTAAAGTGCCAACAATTTATTAAACAAATTAACCATGGTAGGAGTGTACCTGGATACCCTTACCCCACCAGGTTCTGAGCCACTGACAGGACTCGAAACCCAACTTACCAATAACCACAATTAACCATTTCCATAATCTTCCTAATGGGGAGCCTATTTCCTCTTCTTCCACTCCCTATCTCACCACAAGCTCAGACCTTGAACCCTTATGCCGTCTGAGCTCCGCCATCCTGAAAAACAGTGCCTTCTGCAGCCCTTCCTGCCAACCCAGGTTCAGGAGGTCCCACCCCACCCCACCCCACTGCGGAGAGTTGAACTCCATCCGAGTGATAGCAACCCAACCTCTGACTCCCGATGTCTCACTACCACTCCCCCCACTTTCCTAACAAAACTAGCCATCAAGCTATTCACCTTCCCACGGCAGTGATCAATAGCCAATGGGTCGCGCGCATGCCGCCACTGCCGCCTGGGAACCATCTTGGACCAGACCAACATTACCCCAGGAAGCAGGTCCCTCAACCTATTAACGTCCTGCTTTATCCATTTCACCAGCTGACGCTGTGGTATAAGGCCCAAATCATTCCCCCCGCATGAGAACAAGAAAATCAGGCCTACCCCCCCTAGCTACCATCACACAGCATTACATACATCCCCCCCAACAAAATCCCCTATAACCGAACTATCGAAGTGCTAACTGGTCCTTCGGAAAGCCCAACTGCTGCCCCTGAACTTGTGCTGCGGCCCTCCTCTCGGCCCAGAACATGAAAGAATGCCCAACATTCCAGGCGACTTTACCTATGGAAATAAACAGAAACATCACCACCGACTCACATCACCCCCAAGCCCCCCCCACCGTCTCAATCCAACATACCCAAACACACGTACGAACGGAACCTGACCGACTCCCATCTCACAATCCTCTTGACTAAAACCTCCCTCACACCTAACAGCGTAGCTTCTGTAATCACCTCGATGCAGAATGAATGAGTCCCAAACTGACCAACCTGTAACCCCAACTTTGCCAGGCCCAACTGAAAAACTTTGGCAAACTGAAAGTAAGACAGGGAAGAACCATCCGCATGCACCAGAAATGACCCTCTAACCATGGGCCTCCTAGCCATATACCGTGACATCGTGGTCACTGGGCATAAGGTCCGTTCCTATGCCTCTGACATCGGTTTTGGACCGGGTCAAGTGAACCCGCGAGCATCCCTTCTTGCACTCGTACCCCAGACGCATGAAGACCCCCCACCAGCCACCCGGTTAGCGCTTACCAGTTCCCCGATCCGGAATGAGCCAAAGAAGGTCAGGAGAAACACCACACAAAACAGAAGCCCTTCAAACTCGTCAAAACATACCTTGGGCAACACTCCCATGAGACCCCTTAACACCTTTATAGACACAGACGTTCGAGCATCAGGAATCCGGCGTCCTTTCCGATACCCCTTAAGCGCCTGGCGAAAAGTCTTTGTAAGATCTTCCCACCTGTGTAACTTAAACCAAAATGCCAGCGCGGTCATATTCCTATGTAACACTGCCGGGGTTTGGTTCCCCGCTAACAACTGAATGTAAACCAAAGCAATGCGTCTAGTCGCGACTCCCCCACCAGCGCCTGATCCAACCCAGCCCACGAGCTTTCCCATGCTTCCTAGGCCTTATTGTATGTAGCCCAGATGCTCGGTGCCACAGAAGCTCTCGCGTATCCCCCGAGCCTGCCCTACCTCCTGCGCTCCAGGAGCTGCCGTCTGAAACCGGGACCACTGCAAACGAGATAAAGCATCAGCCACCATGTTCAAATACCCTGTCACATGCCTTACACAGAAAACCACATTAAGGGACATACAGAGCAAAACGAAACGCCGCAATAAACGCACCACCGGCTTCGATGAAGCTGACAGATTATTAACCGCGTGCACCACGACCATATTATCCGAAAAGAAGACCACTTTGCGATTCTGAAGCTGGTCACGCCATAGCGCCAAGGGGAACAACTCCAAGAATGCCAGGTTGCAAATGAGGGGACTCTAACCCCACTCCGCGCAACAGCGGCCACCAAAATAAGCCCCGAAGCCCACGCTACCCGACGCATCAGTGAAGAGCTCAAGCTCATCGGCCGAAACCCCTGCCTTTCGAAAGAACACCGTACCATTAAAATCCCGCAAAAATGCATCCCACACCTCCAGATCGGCCCACATAGGCGACGACACCTGGATAAAATGGTGTTGCGACCGTACCCCAGCCTCAGACAGGCTCCGGCTAAAAATTCTCCCCATCGGAATCACCCGGCAGGCAAAGTTAAGCTTCCCGAATAGCGATTGCAGCTGCCGAAGGGTCACCTTCCATGCCCGCAGCACTTCCGCAACGACTCCCCGCAGCCCCAGCAGCTTATCCTGAGGCTGCCAACACTCCCGTCACACAGAGTCAATTTCGAGGCCCAAGAAACTGAGACAATCCATCGGGCCCTCTGTCTTACCTGCCGCAAGTGGCGCTCCGAACTGCCCTGCCACCCATTCAATAGTACGCAGTAGGTGAAGACATGCTGAGGAGTTCGTCAGTCCCCCACAGAATAAATCATCCAGGTAGTGTACCACCGACTTACTGCCCATCTCCATCCTAACCACCCATTCCAAAAAGGAACTGAATGTCTCGAAGTAGCAACAAGAAATCGACCAGCCCATCGGGAGACGCAAGTCGATAAAATACCCCACTTCAAAGTAACAACCCAGCAAGTGGTGACTGTAGCGGAATGGGCTTTGCCACAGTACCCCTCTTTGTATTAGGGGCTGTCCATACCCCTTGTGTGCCTCTATTTTCCTGTGTTGCTACTGCTTGTTACTTGGGGAAACAAGTAACAAATTATTACATTGTGTCATTGTCACGTATTCATCCGCTTATAAAAATGTGGTTAATTGCATTTGCTGTCCACACAGGAAAAGTTGTGCCAAGCAGCAACCAAATCCACAGAAAGGTTAATGCTGAGCAGCAATTATGCAAATGGGAACCTGGTAACTGCCTTTGGGGTCAAAGGCCGGTTACAGCCTATCAGATCTAGAGGAGGGGTATTTAGGCCCAGTTCTCATCCTGCTCAGTGCCCTGTTGTGGTTTCCCTTGTGGTTGTCCAAGAGCGCGTTATTGATTCTGGAAATTCTGGTTATTTGACTTTGTTATTGTTTTTGACTTCCCTGTTTTCTGGCATCCCTGACTCCTGGCTTTTCCTTATCGTTGTGTCTCTTTCTGTTTCCCTTGACCTCGGCTATTCCTGACTATTCGTTGGTACGTTAGTCCGGCCATTCTAAGGTCCGGTATATGTTACCTATCAGTCCTCTGTGTTAGACATTATGACATGGCCATAGATCCTGTAGAATTGTGTAAGCACGTAGCTGCTTGCGAAAGGAAACTAGAGGAGAATGATCACCGCATGGATCAATTTGCCCAGGCCTTCAGTACGCTTCTGCAATCTGCGGCTGCTCCTACTGTCTCACCTCCGCCTATAGTATTCAAGGCATCAACTATCTCTCTATCTCCTCCTCATCTGCATTTTGATGGTAATTTCCAAGAATGTCGGGGATTCCTTAACCAAATAGAGTATCAATTTGAGGCCTTACCGGGATCTTTTCCCACAGACAGAGCTAAAATTGGTTACCTGATGAATCAATTAAAGGTAAAGTTTTAGCTTGGGCCAATCCATTATGGGAGAGTAATAGGAATGTGGCACACAATTTCCAGAAGTTTATTACGGAATTTAAACTTACGTTTGAACCATTAGGCAAGGAGGAAGACGCCTCTACTGCCCTGATGCATATCAAACAAGGGAACCGATCTATCTCAGAGTATGCCATAGAATTTCGTACCCTAGCTTCCGAGGTAGACTGGACTAATAGTGGGTTAATCTCTGCATTTAAAAATGGACTATCTGAAATTATGCTAGATGAGATTGCCGCCAAAGACTTACCCAAAAAGCTTATTAGATTTATCACTTTTGTCATGCAAACTGATAATATATTGAGAACCAGAGAAGCTACTAGAAACAAGACCAGACACATGAATATGCATTTAGCACCCCACTTCTCCAAACCTATTATCCCTGAATTTACTGTACAGTCCGAACCTGAACCCATGCAGTTGGGGGTCACTAGACTGTCGGAAGCAGAAAGACAATATAGGAGAAAAGAAGGCCTATGTCTATACTGCGGTAGAAAAGTACATATGAGAAACAATTGTCCCATACGTCCGGAAAACTACCGCACCTAAGCACCTTAAGGGGACAGGTCTTTGATGTAATGGAAACGTCCCCTGGAATGGATAAAATAGGTTTCTCCTTGATATCTCTATTGCCTTTGAAAAGAAGAACTTTTCATGCAAAGCCCTGATGGATTCAGGTGCCGCTGGAAACTTTATCAACGTTCAGTTTGGTTAAAGGTAATACTATACCTATCAAGGAGAGACTATCACCCCTAGCTGTTGAAGCTATTGATGGGAGACCACTCTCACAACCATTGATTACTTACCTATTAATTTGTCCATTGGTGCCTTACATAAGGAAGAGATTACATTTCGGGTTATTGCATCCCCTTCCTGTCCAATCATATTAGGCTTTCCATGGCTTAACAAGCATAACCCTCATATTGACTGGGCTAATGGGGAAATATTAGAATGGGGTAAGGATTGTTATAAAAAAGGGGTATATTGAATGTTGCCAAAAGAGTGGGCACTATTGGATTACCCACTAGTACACCTCAAAACCCGGAAATCCCTATACAGTACCAAGACATTAAAGAAGTATTCAGCAAAACTCAGTCGAATACTCTACCTCCTCACAGACCTTATGACTGTTAATTTACTACCCGGCGCTATGCCACCTAAGGGAGCAGTCTATGCTCTGTCACCTCAGGAGAGTAGAGTAATGGAGGAATATATTAAGGATTCATTGAATAAAGGCCACATATGAAAATCATCCTCGCCTGCTGGGGCAGGATTCTATTTTGTATCTAAAAAGGATGGTGAGTTGCGCCCATGTATCGATTACAGGGCTTTGAACAAAATCACCATTAGGAACGCTTACCCCATTCCTCTTATTGCTGAATTATTTGATAGACTCCAAGGCGCTAAAGTATTTACTAAGCTTGATCTTAGAAGTGCTTACAATTTAGTGAGAATCGAGGAAAACCACGAGTGGAAGACTGCATTTAATACCAGAAATGGACACTATGAATATCTAGTGATGCCATTCGGGTTGGCCAATGCTCCAGCGGTTTTTCCAAGATTTCATAAATGATGTACTCAGGGATTACATTTACTCGTTTGTCTTGGTCTATCTGGATGATATCCTTATTTATTCTTCTGACATTCAGACTCACCACAATCACGTTAGACAAGTTCTGCAGACCTTGTTAAAGAATCAACTTTATTGTAAATTAGAAAAATGCATATTTGACCAATCTGAAGTACAGTTTTTGGGATATAATATCTCTGCCTCGGGGTTTCACATGGATCCTAAAAAGCTGGAATCGGTTCTAAAATGGCCTTTACCCACTGGGTTGAAAGCCATTCAAAGGTTCATTGGTTTTGCCAATTATTACAGAAGGTTTATAAAGGGATTTTCTTCAGTAATAGCCCCCATCACCAATATGACATGCAAGGGGGTAAGCAGTATGATATGGTCTAAGGAAGCCTTTGAAACTCTCAAACAGCGGTTTGCCTCCGCCGACATAATACATCCTGACACCAGTAAACCTTTCATACTGGAAGTTGATGCATCAGAGACAGGGGTAGGGGCAGTTCTCTCCCAGAGGGAGAGCCAGGATACTCCATTGCATCTTTGTGGTTACTTCTCTAGAAAGTTGTCTCCTGCCGAGCGCAATTATGATATTGGCAAAAGGGCCATAATTCTAGCTCTCAAGGAGTGGCGACATCTTTTAAAGGATTCCAAGGACCCCCTTTTGATCATTACTGATCACAAAAACCTGGCTTACAAAGGAGATGCTAAACGATTGTCTTCTAGACAGGCTAGGTGGTCTCTGTTCCTTTCTTGCTTTAATTTTCTTATTACTTATAGACTTGGTTCTAAAAATTTCAAGGCCGACGCCTTTTCCAGACAGTTTGATACTGAGTCTATACAAGAGCAAGAAAAGTCTCATATCATTCCCCCGGAATGTATCATTGCTTCCACTATCCTTTCATTGTCCTCTCCGCTGCTTGGCTCCATCATGGAGGCTCAGTCTCAGGCGCCCTGCAGTAAACCTCAGGACAAATTGTTTGTTTCATTGGGGGAAAGGTGTTTCACGACAATGTGTCTCCTGGTCACCCAGGTATTAATAAATCCACTTCTGCTATCATGAGGTCATTCTGGTGGGATTCCCTCAGGAAGGATGTTAAGGAGTATGTGCAGGCTTGTTCTGTTTGTGCGGTTTCCAAAGTACCTCATAAACTCCCTCGTGGCTTGTTACAACCTCTTCCCGTTCCTGAGGTCCCATGGTCCCACTTGTCTATGGATTTCATTGTAGAACTTCCTAGTTCTAATGGTTATACCACTATTCTCATGGTTGTTGACCGTTTTTCTAAAATGGCTCACTTCATCCCTCTCAAGAAGTTAACGTCATCTCAAGACCTAGTACTGATCTTTATAGGTGAGATTGTCCGTTTGCGTGGCATTCCTTACAATATTGTATCTGATAGAGGTTCTCAGTTTGTATGCCGGTTTTGGAGGGCTCTCAATAAGAAATTGAGGATTGAATTGTCTTTTTCATCCTCTTACCACCCCCAGACTAATGGTACAGCTGAGAGGGCTAACCAGTCTGGAGTTATACTTGCGTTGTTTCGTTAAAAGCACTCGAGACAATTGGTCCGAATTATTACCATGGGCCGAGTTTGCTAGGAACAATGCTGACCATGACTGCTCTGGGAATAGTCCATTTTTTGTTAATAATGGCCGGCATCCTAATGTCCTACCGGCTGTTTTTTCTGATACGGCTATTCCTGCTTTGGATGACCGTCTGGCTTCCATCCGTGATACCTGGGTTAAAGTTCAATCTGCTCTGGGTACTGCTGCTGACCGTTTCAAGCATTATGCTGATACACGTCGAGGTGCCAACCCTGTTTACCAAGTGGGTGAGAGGGTTTGGTTATCTTCTCATAACATCAGGCTCAAAGTCCCTAGCATGAAATTTGCTCCTAGGTTCCTTGGACCTTTTCGTGTCCTTCGTAGGATCAATCCTGTTGCGTACTCTCTGGCCCTTCCGGCCTCCTTGAAAATTCCTAATACCTTTCATGTGTCCTTGCTCAAACCTCTTGTTTGCAATAAATATACTATCTCAAGTGTTCCTCCTCCTCCCTTACTTGTTTCTGGACAGGAAGAGTATGAGGTCTCCTCCATAATTGATTCCAGGTTTTCTGGGGGCATTTTACGGTACTTGGTGGATTGGAAAGGTTATGGACCAGCTGATCGTTCTTGTGTTTCGGCATCTGATATACATGCTGGCCGCAAGATTCGCTATTTTCACGCCAAATTTCCTCTCAAGCCTAGTTCTGCCCGCCCGGTGGGCGTTCTTCAGGTGGGGGGGTAATGTTACGTATTCATCCACTTATAAAAATGTGGTTAATGGCATTTACTGTCCACACAGGAAAAGTTGTGCCGAACAGCAACCAAATCCACAGAAGGGTTAATGCTGAGCAGCAATTATGCAAATGGGAACCTGGTAACTGCCTTTGGGGTCAAAGGCCAGTTACAGCCTATCAGATCTAGAGGAGGGGTATTTAGGCCCAGTTCTCATCCTGCTCAGTGCCTTGTCGTGGTTTCCCTTGTGGTTGTCCGAGAGCGCGTTATTGATTCTGGTTATTTGACTTTGGCATTGTTTTTGACTTCCTGTTTTCTGGCATCCCCGACTCCTGGCTTTTCCTTATCATTGTGTCTCTTTCTGTTTCCCTTGACCTCGGCTATTCCTGACTATTCTTTGGTACGTTAGTCCGGCCATTCTAAGGTCCGGTATACGTTACCTGTCAGTCCTCTGTGTTACACAATTCTACATCCTGGATCATTCTATAATCCAGACAGTCATTTCATCTGGTTGTTCGGTATTATCCCTATTTCAGCTGACTTTCCCTATATACATCCTGTTCCAAATTATTATGCTAATTATATTTTTCTAATTTACCTAAATAATTCATGTAAATAACAGTCAGCATAATTCTCATGTTATCAACTATTAAGAGTACAACATTTTGACTTTTTAAACATTTTAAAAGGCCACGTTACATTTTAACATAGGACCCCTTATTTGATAACAGCTTCACAAGTCTTGCATCCATTGAACTTGTGAGTTTTTGGACAGTTTCTGCTTGAATTTGTTTGCAAGATTTCAGAATAGCCTCCCAGAGCTGCTGTTTGGACGTAAACTGCCTCCCACCCTCATAGAACTTTTGCCTGAGGATGCTCCAAAGGTTCTCAGTAGGATTGAGGTCAGGGGAGGATGGAGGCCACACCATGACTTTCTCTCCTTTTATCCCCTGTGATCCTTGTCTGCAGTTAGCACGGTCCTTTTGGGTACAAACATGCACAGTCTTTAAAAGTAAATTAATTCCAGGCACTTTATTAGTAAATCCACACAGGAGACAGCAGTAAATGGGAAAAAAAAACCAATTATGTAGCAAAAACCCTAGCTCGTCTGAGCACTAACTAACTTCAGATTTCCTATCTCTCAGGGGTTAAACTATAACAAAATAATACTGGTTTCACCAACCTAGTGTCTTTGTTAGCTCTCAGCACTCCAGTGTTTAGTCAGCCTGCTGCTTCCAGCCCTTCAAGAGAGAAACAAACATTCTCCCCTACCTGCCTAGCAGGGAGGGGTTTATTCCCACTGCTGCAGCTGATTACATGCAGCTGAGCAGTGGGTTGGAGACAGTCCAAAAACCCTGGCCTGGATCTATGTCTCCCAAGAAAACCGCTAAACTGCGGAGTGGAGCACTGGCCCACCCTGCTCTCCAAATGCTCCACCCCAGGGGCCCATAACTAAATATTCATTTCAGTTATATACACACAGACACACACACACTCCCCCTGGGGTTAAAAATCATATGCCTCTCAGAACAATTCAGTCGAAAGATAAACTCCCTCACAGACCACCCCATTCACCTTATCACACCCCATAGCAGCCATTGATGCAAAGTTATTCCTTGCAGCATGAGATGGTGCATTGTCATGCATGAAGATGATTTTATTATGGAAAACATAGTTCTTCCTTCTGTACCAGGGAAGAAACTGGTCAGTCAGAAACTCCACATACTTTGCAGAGGTCATCTTTACACCTTCGGGGACCCTAAAGGGGTCGACCAGCTCTCTTCCCATGATTCCGGCCTAAAACATGACTCCACCACCGCTTTGCTGAGGTCGCAGCCTTGTTGGAACAGGGTGGCCGTCCATCCATCTGGACCATCCAGGGTTGCACGGCACTCATCAGTGAACAGGACTGTTTGAAAATTAGTCTTCATGTATTTTTCTGCCCAATGCAGCCGTTTCTGCTCATGAGCATTGGTTAGTGGTGGCAGAATAGAAGGTTTATGCACAGTTGCAAGACTCTGGAGGACTCTACACCTTGATGTCCGTGGGACTCCGAGGCATCAGCAGCTTCAAATATCTGTTTGCTGCTATGTAATCTTCCTCAATGTCCCTTTATCTTCACGAACCCGTCTGTGCTCTTAATCAGCCACAAATCTCTTAATAGTGCGAAGATTACGCTTCAGTTTTGTGAAATATCTAATGTTTTCATACCTCGTCCAAGGCATTGAACTATTTCATTCTTTTCGGCAGCAAAGAGATCCTTTTTCTTCCCCATATTGCATAAAAATGGTGCTCTGCTTAATAATGTGGAACACCCTCCTTTAGTAGTTTTTCCTTAAATTGGGCTCACCTGGCAATCTAATTATCACAGGTGTCCGAGATGGTTTTCAGTGATCAAAAGAGCCCTGAGACACAATGCCATCCATGAGTTAAACTGAAAAACAAAATATTTAATCTTTGTGACACTTAAATAGAATTTGCATAATAATTTGGAACAGGGTGTAGTTCGACAAACCCATGAGAGCAGCGTGACACCAATTGACCTTTCTAACATTGTTCACACTTTCTTAACTACAAACACATAAACCAACTGGGCGATCCCCGTTCATATATGCGAACACGTGGCAGCGACCATCTTGGAATACGAACTGCACTAGCGGGATTTGGTCGTCGAGTGTCTGGAACCCAAATCGGACAAACACAGCGGAGACTTCCATCCTCGTGTAATTTTGTGTAAACTCTGGGGAACAGAGCGGCATTCGGTGAAAAGAACCACACGAAGAGATGATTTCAACGAACTAATGCACAAACCAGCTTTATATGCAATTTCGTGTAATTCAGACTCTCGAACATAGACTGTCCGCGCAGCCCAGACGCATGGAACTATTTTCGGCATACACCTCGTGTGCGGTCGGTAAAACTAAGACTTTCATGGAACGCCTGAACCGATGTGGGTGATTTTTCAGTAACCTTGTGGGAAAACTTGCATAAAGGGCCAGCATGGCCCATTAAAGATCAGTTCTGCTCCTAATACTGAGTGTCATCCAGTTATTTAGAAGGGTGATGGGAGAATCGTGAATTATTCTCTATCTATGTCTGTATTCCCAAAGTATGCTGCTTGTTCTGAGTAACTGTTGGAGTAACCAGCGGAGGAGAGTCCCGGCTAGAACTAGTGCTCCGCTACAGTGACATTCCGGGTGAACGGGCAGCAAGTGAAACGTAGCCTCCACATCCACCTTAGCCAATAAGTCCCGATACCTGGCCTTTTTAACCAACTCGACCGCCTGATCGAATGATGCGTAAGAGACAGAGCACAGATCCCTATCGATGTCGTCATTCACCAACCCCCCTTTCGGGTAAGAGAGGTTCCTTCTTCGGAACCACCCCAAGAGGCGACACCCGTAAGTTAGCCAGAGGAGGCGCTATGAAAGTTCCCTGCCATCCTGCCCAACTGCACCTCTTTCGCCAGCTTCTCCCGCACCACCTCCGAGAACTCCGCCACCAACCGCAGATTGCGCAACCCCCTGACCCCTCCCTGTCCCTGAAAGGAATGAAGAAACACGATTTGAAACGGCTTAGCCACGGCACCATTGCACCTTAATTCACTGGGGTTAGGCCCTGTGGCAGTGTGTGCACCCCCCGCTGCTGCGGACCCCCCAGCTCTATTACGCTTGAAACACCTATTGAGTCCGTGGGCATCCCCGCAACCCGAGCACTCGTGCTTGAATCGACATGCGGACCCCTACTTGCACTGGCCGTCATTGAAGAGCCAGCATAAACCCTTTTGCAAGGCAGACGACGACGCGGACTGTCCCCTTGCGCTGGCCACCTGTTGAAAGGGCTGCGCCTTCTGTGCCATTATCAGCTTCATCCAGAAAGGCAGGTCCATCTGGTCCCACCTCATACCCGGATTAGCTGCCATCCGCTGCCGGAACTGCTCGTCATACCTCCACCACGCGAGCCCGCCGTACGTGCGGTACCCTTCCCAGATGCCGTCCAAGTAGCAGAACAATGGCAAACACAACCCCGGCAACTTCTCGCCCAGGTCGCTGGCCATGATGCAGAATGCCCTCTACCAATGCCCTCCTTTTTGTTATCTTTCTTGTCTTCATCTTTAAGGTCAAGAAACTCCTCTAACGGGAGAAGCGATCAAATTTAGCAAAACTCATCCTTCCATAATTTCTCCTTCACGTCCTATTTCAGGTGTACCCCTAATAGCCCTGCGAACGACACATACGTGTGCTGCCGCCCCGCATCTGGAACGCCTCCAGTCAGTTCTGCACTCTCGGTCCCGACCTCAGCTGCCCCTACCATCGGTCCCACCCAAGCCACCCCCAGTGCCTGACTCCAATTTCACCGCAGCCCTCACCCCATGAGCCAACACCTGGCCCACACTAGCCCCCTGACCACCCCCAGCTCTCAAGGAAAGAAGCAGGGACTGCAGTGTGTTCAGCAAAGTGTGAGAACGAAGTGCAACGTCTGACTCACCGTCCAAGCCCCCCCCGCCATGGATGGCCCAGGTGCTGCCCCGCCGAATCCAATTAGTCCAGGATGCGTTGCATCCGCTGCTTGTGTTCCAACCGGGGAGTCCACCCGATGCCGAGACGGCCAGAGGAAGAACGACTCCGAGACCTGCAATGAGAACGAGAAGACCTGAGCAGGGTGTACCGTCCCCCCTCCCACCCCTGGGAGCACCTTCCCGATTCCAAGGCCTCCCGCTGGGAATCGACATACCTCCTCCCCCTGGGGCTACGGCTCTTACCATCCCCCCTAGGAGACCTGCCCCGCCGCCCCCGCTGAACTACCGGATGTAGACTGGTGCTGCCTTGCCGAACCGGGAGAGGAACTGCCACTCCTTGACCCCCTATGGGACCCAACCCTGAGGGACCTACCACACAACCTGCGCCTCCTGTGGTGCCAAGACATGGGGGACGGCCCCCCACCCACCAAGGTATGACCCACGGGGTCTACCTGCTAACCAAACTTGCCCAGCACTCCCCCGCCTGAGGAGTAGTCCGACCAACCTCTACCCTGGGCCGTCGGACGCCTACCCTCTGACAGTTCTCCAGCCCGGTGGCGATCCCCCCTGTGGGCCTGCTCCTGCTGCCTCCTGCGATCCCCCCTGTGGGCCTGCTCCTGCTGCCTCCTCACCGCCCTGGGCTCAGTCGACGTGGGGACCTCCTGGTTCTTGTAGGTCGCCCGCCGCCGCCCTCCTGTTCCGCAGCCTGCACCGATCCCAGCTGGGCCCGGATCCATGCAGCTCCACGGTTCCTCTCCGCCATCCTGAGACCCTCCAGCATCTTCTCCCCGACATCCATCCTGCAGGGGAGAGAAAAAATAAAGCCTACCAGGCCAAATGAGTGGATACACGAGGTGAACACAAACTCAGCCAGGTAGGCAAGTTAAAGAACCACTATAGGCACCCAGACCACTTCAGCTTAATGAAGTGGTCTGGGTGCTAGGTCCATCAAGTGTTAACCCTGCCTGCTGTAAACATAGCAGTTTCAAAGAAACTGCTATGTTTACATATGGGTTAATCCAGTCTCTAGTGGCTGTCTCATTGACAGCCGCTAGAGGCGCTTCCGCGCTTCTCACTGTGATTTTCACAGTTAGAAGACGCCAGCATCCATAGGAAAGCAGTGAGAATGCTTTCCTATGGACTGACTGAATGCATGGGCATTCAACGGATGACGTCGGAAGGAGGAGGAGAGTCCCCAGCCCAGCGCTGGAGAAAGGTAAGTGTTTAACCCCTTCCTCCCCCTTCAGCCCGGCGGGAGGGGGGCCATGAGGGTGGGGGGGACCTATTAACACTATAGTGCCAGGAAAACGAGTTTGTTTTCCTGGCACTATAGTGGTCCTTTAAAAGTGACTCTTCCAAGATGTCTGCCTATTTATATAGCCCAACCCCTTTACCCACAAGCGACCAATCCCAACTAGCTACCTCCTATGCCCGCCTCCTAACCCCTGTCAAGGCCCCTTTCCACTAAGAGTTAATATGAGTTCTTCAGAGATCCCTCCTATATTAGCTGTAACACATGGACTTTTAGAATATGGATGTCCATTGTGAAGGTCTCCCTGCTCTGTAAGGGGGTTCATTGCATAAATCATTGCATTGATTGAATTATCAGGGCTGTTCTTTTTGTGTCATGTAATAATTCCTTATCAGTCATTGAGATATTTAGCCCTATTGTGGCTCTAATTTGGGTAATCAGCTCCGCCCTCACTTCTCCCCCACCGACATCCGCCAGTGGGGGAGACCTAATGCGCATGTGTGGCAATGGCCGCGCTCGCATTAGGATTCCCCCATAGGAAAGCATTATTTAATACTTTCCTATGGGGATTCCGATGACGCTGGAGATCCTAATGCATAGCGTGAGGACGTCCAGCGTTGTTTAGATGACCAAAAGTCATCTAAGAAACTGGAAGTCCCTCTAGTGGCTGTCTGGTAGACAGCCACTAGAGGGGGAGTTAACCCTAGAAAAACTGCCTACAGTGTCCCTTTAATTGCCTGCTAGAGTATGATGGGGCCTCTTGTGTTTAATAAAGTTCAATTAACAGAGCAAGTGATAAGAACTTCTAAAGTTAACACACTGTTCTGTTAAGATTAAACCTTGTTTTCATGGAGGCTATTTGAGTCTCAGCCAGGGGAGGTGTGACTAGAGCTACATGAACAAAGTGATTTAAATCCCAAATTGCAGGGCCATAATATATACACAAAATCTGCTTAATTTAGCTAAGCGTGTCTTGGTGCTTAGAGTTTCTCCTTAAAACTGAATATATTTACATTGAACAAATTGTAAAAATAAAATGTTCATTAAAACAATTATAGAATTTTAAAATGACAATTGTAATTAGTTATTAGGTTACAGACGGAAGCACAAATCTTCATGATGAAGCTGTTTTTATTAAAGGGATACTAGAGTCACCAGAACAACTACAGAGTATTTGTTCTGGTGAGCATAATCAGTCCCTGCAGGCTTTTTGCAGTAAACACCTTTTTTTCAGAGAAAATGCAATGTTTACAATACAGCCTAGGGACACCTTCACTGGCCACTCTTCAGTAGGCTACTACAAGTGCTTCCCTGGGTAGTGCTGCACAGTGTGCATCACTGCCATTCAGTATCTCCACCTTCTGCATGGAGACACTGAACTTTCCTCATAGAGATGCATTGATTCAATTAATCTCTATAAGGAGATGCTTATTGGCCAGGGTTGTGTTTAGCTTGTGCTGGCTTTGCCCCTGATCTGACTCCTTGACAAACTCCTATAGGAAAGCATTGTGATTGGGTCAGATCAACAATTCTGATAATGTCAACCAAGCAGGCAGATCAGTGTCAGAACTAGCAGCAGACTGGAATAAAGTTAAGATTTTACTATATTTAGGAGGGCACGGGGGGGCTAGATGGTGTTTTTAATACTATAGGGTCAGAAAAACATGTTTGTGCTCCTGATTCTGTAATGTTCCTTTAATTACAACTCATTTAATTTCTGTACAAGAATAAAGATTGAGATTGCAGTAAGTGCAGTACCGAAAACAGAAAAAAACATGATGTTTTATCCCTTTTGTTTTCCAGTTTTCTATGTTATTTCAACACCCAATAGATGCCATACATGCCTTGAGCAACCATATCAATGAGAATAAAGTCGATTTGGTTTTGATGGACCATCAACCTGACCAATATCTCCAGGCATTGCAGGTACTGGAAGAGGTTGGGGTACTGCACCAAGGTACCTTGATACTAGCCAACAATATCGAACAATCTGCAGCCAAAGAATTCATGGATCATCTTCAAAGTCATCTGTATTTTGAAATCATCAGCAGCTGTCAGGGACTAATAGCAATACAATGTACGAAGACAAGGGTGTTCAACTATAATGATTAGGAACAGATCAACAAATGTCTGCAAAAGTGACTCTTACCAGTAAATATAATTAGGGAACTAGTGGGGTATCCATTGGTGCAGAAGTAATGTTCAGGGCAAAATTATCAGTTGTGGAATGAAAACCAATAACTTGAATTTAGGATATTGTGCACACAGCTAGCATACATTATGTAAAAAGGGATATGTTTAAAGCTCCAAAACCAGTCCCTGTCTCTGCAGTCTGACAAATGTAAACATTTAACATTTTTACAAACCACAGTGTTTACATATGTCACTAAGGATGTCTGTAGTGGCAGTCAGTCAGCCACTATACCTTCCTCGTGAAGACTTTCAATAATGAAAAGCTTTCATGTTTGGTGTCAACAAACACATTGAATGCTTCTCTTAGAGAAGCGTTGGATTCGCTCATTCGATTCCTAGTGTTTCTAGTGAAAAGTATTGAATTGGCCAGAGATCATCCATGAGGATGATCTCAAAAGAGCAGGATTGACTGTCGTGACGAGACCAGAACGACGCTAGATAATAGTGTTCCTTTAATATACCTTAGCAGGAACTGAGTATTGATATATTACAGGATAGTTGTATTAGTCTCAAACACCATCATATACTATGAATTCTATTTGGTAAAGATGAGTTTTCAAGCAACCATTAACAGGTTTTTATTACCAGACAGTTACATAAAGATGATCTTGTCTACTGATGATTGTCAATATGTCTCTGCCTGTATTACTCCCAGCACATACTTTTAAAATATACAAATATATAGCTAGTGTATTGTTGTCTTCACTTCTTTGTATTCAGCATTATTATTATTATTTATATAGCGCCATCAAATTCCGTAGCGCTGTACAATGGGATTAGTACCACGTATCAACTAAAAAAAAAATCATAGAATCCATAGGGGTTATTTAAATACTAACTACGAATTCTAAGCCAGGCTACATTTGTCTGAGAATAATGAGCATCACAGTTGAAAGCATCTTGAGGTAGACCTAAACCTAGCCCCAACCTAAACCCACTACCTCTATAAAATAAGGAGATACCAAGGTAACTCTTATCAATCTTTGGCAATGAGGGGGGAAAAAACATTAACAGCAACTCCTAACCCTAACTGGTCTATGAATGAATAATGCTGTAATGACACTGTCCTGTAATTAATTAATTAATTGTCGCTACAAAGCTAAAGCTTAATCTGCTCTTGTCAACACTTACACATGCAGACAAGGTGAGATTTATCCCGACAGGCAACTATATGAGAACACTAGACTGAATGTGGACCTGTTTTGGCACAGGAGATGCCTTCTCTACTCTTATCCTTGTATGTGGAGAAGGCATTTGACAAGGAGGAGTGACAATATTTATTTAGTCCCTTGAAGCATTGGGGATTTCAACTGAGGCTTTCCGGGTTCTTTATACTGGTCTAAGTACACAGAAAATTCCATAGGGAACTAAGGGGGCTCCCTTTCAAATTAGAAATGTAAGGAGACAGGGTGTCCGTTATCCATACTGTTGTTTGCTCTTACTGGAGCCTCTTTTTCACAGGATCAGAGAGAATCCATGGATCAAGGGTATCGATATAGGGACTGAGACACTTAAGGTTGTTGCACATGCAGATGGTGTGGTTCTCACATTGAGAGACCCAGTAGTCTCTTTGGACCCATGGTTTGAGGAAATGCGCATACAATCATCTACAGACCTAAAGCAAGGGGTGGGTTGGAGCTATCAAACCTCCTAATGTACTTTTATGCAGCATAATTAGCGCACATGGTGATGTGGCATGCACCAGTATCCTTCTTAGCTATTTGGGATAAAATAATAAATTCCAGCTGAGCTCTAGACTTTTGCCCATAACTCTGATATTGCACAGTAGGAACTTTTCCCCCAGACATGCGTCCAGACATTTGGAAATCCTAAAGACACTTTGGTACAGAGATACTTCCAATAATGGGAGATAGATGGTGTAGTAAGATTCAACACTATGAAAGAGAGACGCAAACTAACCACCAAAGATTTCTTTCGGTTTCTCCAAATTAGATATTTCACACTACAACATGCAAAACCACAGATCGTCGCGACTATTCTCACATACTTTGAAAATCTATGCCTTCAGGGTATTTACAATAATATCAGTTCACTAGAACGAGAGTGGGGCCCCATGATCACTCTAGCAGTGAAGAATGCACTGGCAGGCACTTCAATAAAAACTGAAGTACCAGTCATCAAGGAGGTACTGGTCACGATATTGGATAACCATTTGATGGATCAGTAAACCACAATGCCTCACAATACCTTGCACTCGTTTAATAAGATTTGGGAGCAGTAAAGGGAGTATCACTCAGGTTGATTCGAGCATGGTTTGGCAGTTCTAGTTGCGGTCGCGTTACCAATTAAGTAGGAAACAAACTTTTTTTTGTGTGATGTCCATGGGAAAAGTTTATAGCTCCAAAAATTTGTGCAAATTGCTGTACACCGGGAGCTGGGACAGCATATAATGATGCAAAATGTTATGACATGTCAAGCGACCCTTTTAATGGTTGGTTACTCCAAGCACAATGACCACTTCAGTGTTTTGAAGTGATCCTGGTACTTGGAGCTCGTATGTGCAGCATTTCAATTTGAAACTCTAAACATTACACCTCCATCAGATCACTTAAATATCGCTGTATGTGCACATTATATTCATGTCAATTCTGTGCACAGAAGCTCATTCATTGGCACACAGATGACACCTGTGTCAATAAATGAGCAGCTCTGCATCTTGGGGTTCTTGGAAGCCGGAATAATGCCAACCATTGTAAAACGTAGGGTCTCAGGTTGCTCCTATCATCATAAACACTACAGTGGGCTATAGTATTTATGATGCTTAAGATGACCCTTCAAGTTCATTTTATATGCCCGTTTATTTATAATTTGCTATTATAATACTGAAATTGCCTTACTCTTTGTCTACTTTAAAAGCAAAACTGTTCCTGTCTGTAGTGTGCTGAATAAATGACCAGATACTTAAATTCACATTGATGTTGGCTGTATAGAACTTGCTACAACACTACAAGTCTTATTCACTAAACTGTGAGTTGTGAATTGAAAATCACTTTGCAAAATTCAGGACAAATTGCTTGAAAAAATGTCTCTTCATCAGCTATTGTCTCGGCTTGGCTATTTTAACCTTATTTTTCAAATTTAATTATCAGTTGACTACATTTCACAGTGTTTCAAAATTCCCACTTGCATTCCATTCCCTCGCACAATTTGTATTAATGGCCAGCCTAGATGGGCACATTGCTTCTATCTGCCAAAGCAAATTTGGTTTGAGAGCAAATCTACTCCTACATGATACTACCTGTTACTACTGTCATATTATACTTGAATTATGCAATTTTTTTTAAATGCAGTTTTATCATTTTATAGGCTAAAAAAAAAAACATTTCACTTTAATATGCAGTGTTTGTTTTGCAGTCAGTGCTTTACAATTCAATTTTTTTCATCCAAATCAAAATTATACACAGTAAGCAACAGATAATGATATTTAATATTTTTTTTATTTTTCTTAAAATCATAAACAACATAAATAAATAAAACAAAACTGTCTTTCATTCACACGGTTGACTGCATTCTTGAGACCAGTACTGTTTCTGTTTTAAATCTGACTGCAGGAGTAGGGAAGAGTTTTCCAAATCCCTCTATATTTAGGAACTACCCTTATTCTAAAACTGAACTAAGCCCTGGACAGAAGATAAATAATGATATCTAAAAAAATTTTTTTTAAAATTGCATTTAATTTATCATGTATCTCTATGATAAATGATATATTCATTGCATATGAGGGGGTTCAGTTAAAGTGACTATTTTAACCCATTAGCAATGATCCTCCATGTATATCTTTTTACTCACTACATCTTTGAGATGAACCCAGCATTCTAGATTGCAACATTCCTATTTAGAATTTGCTCTGTATTTCATACCATGACTTTAATTGTGCTTGTTTATTTATTGCCTTATTCTTGTGGGGGTGTATTGCATTCAATATTTAATTGTTGTTGTTTTTCCTTTTATCCTCTGTCATTACTGGTATTCCAATTCATTCTTGCCTCAAACCCCTATAATACCTTCCACTCAGACCATAACATCCTCATGATTAATTTAATCGTGTTACTTAATGATATGTAATCCAATGCAGAACCACTCTGAGGTTATATATGTGTATATGTAATGTACAATGGTCTTAAGAACTTAATATGAACTGCATGATAATTATGATTTTAGTAAGAGAATGTAAAATAAGCAGAACCTTTATATTTATGGATAAATAATGGAAACTGAGATGATAGTATCTTTATGAATAATTAAAAAACAAACAAAAAACTAATGTATACCAGCATGGCAGCCGTAGAAAATATGAAAGTCTTCAACTATTTCTTGAAAGAAGTGTATTTGTGTGTATTGTCATATTTCTATTTAAATACAGTCAGTAGTGGTGTGCTCACATGAGTACCTGTTTGCATACAATTCCATTATTGTGATGGATACACTGCAACGATCTCCCTCGCCCACTGCAATACCTCACTGTCAGGCTTATGTACAGTACCTTCAGTGTGAAAAAGGCTCTGATAGACAGCTTTCATTAAACACCAATGATAACTCCTTACTCTAGTGATCGGGCAGCACCAAACTGTAAAGGTCTCATGAGGTAGAGGAAATAAGTTGCAATAAGCACCAATTCTAGATCAGTAAATCTTCAAAAAATATAGGATAGACTTGGCATATTGTTACACTGTAATACACGATTGTATGATATCACAGTGTATATAAATAACACTTTATATGGTTTACATTCACCGAAATATCCATTACACTCATTTGCATAAATTGGTGAGACCTACAGTTGAACAATGGGATGGAAATGCACAAATGTGTTACTAGTGCTTCACATGATGGGATTTCATGCAATAAAGTACGTGTTGTGTTTTGTGTACACATGAGATATCGCAGGGCTCAAAATTTCCACTCGACAGTAGTCTTTGGAAGATTTGCTCCTGGTGAGTGTGCCATAGATCCTGCAGGCTTAAAGTCGAAAAGTAACTTTTAAGACCTGGCTAAGAGCATAGAACTAAAATGTAACCCCTACATTGTATACACATTGCACTTGTATCTAATATGAGACTTTGCATTCAGGAATCACAATGCTATCAGTAATACGGGTTTGCCCGTTTTTATGCAGATCCTTGTATAATTCAACATGTACTGGTTGCTCATTCTACAGTATAAGGGAGTGCTGCACACAAGTAAAATATGTTGGAGCTCTATGGGTGAGGGTCCATTACCCACCAGGATAACTAAAGATAGGAATCCACAGGCATCACCGTGTAGGGTTCAAATGGAGGGATTTAATCTGGACAAAAACAACAAAATATTATACAATGTTTAGTCTGTGAGGCCTTAGTCATGTTATGGCCTAAACGTTGTATGTTATGTCCTTTTTATCCAGAATAAATCCTACTATTTGCACCCCACACTGTGATGCCTGTGGATTCCTATCCTTGGTTCCTCAATCTAAATGTTTTAGTAATGCACAGCCACTTCTACTGAATAGGTGAACAATATGATGCACATGCTCACAATATACACAACAAATATTTCCATTAAGAGTTTTCCCAAGATAATGCTTCTTTCAAAAGTAATAGTTCATGCTTGTTGCCTTTAGTTGGCTGCTACAAGGTTGTTTCTTGCAAACCAAGTCAACCTCTACTTTGCATTGCCAAATAAAGGTTCCACCATATTTTACGTACAAATATCACATATAACATTTATAATGTGTTGTGTATCTAGACAGAAGAGGGAGTATGGTTACCACCAGGCTACAATAAATGCACATTGCTTATCTGAGCCATTGTGGTAGTTAAGCGTAGTGTATGTTTTATGAGAATTGTGATGGTGATAAAGTTGTTGAAAACGCGATCCCCTAAACCAAATACTTTCTCAACAGAAGCTCCAAAGACATTTCGCATAGTGAAATAGTGCATATTTCAATATTTTTTCATTTAAATAGCAACAGCAGTTTCTCAAAATATAAATTTCGAGTTTATCCATCTACTGTGCTTAGGAAATTTGAATGAAATTGCAGACAAGGCCGTTAAACTGAAGACTTGGATGAACATTTTTGCACAACACGGTCTGTCTGTAACTTTATAAGTTTTGTTATACTACAGGATATTTTTGTTGTGGGTAGTTTAGCACTCTCCCAATGAAAATAGTTTTATAGACATAGAAGTAGATGTTCAGTCCCTCCTCACTACTGGTATCAGGTATTAAGATAATCTCATTTAGAACCATCCACTCCTAAATTCTTGCTGCAGGCTGAAAGTCTCATGAGCACTTCTGAAGTGTTGTCACCATGGGATTCTGCTTTCTGATTCAGCAGCATCTCAAAGAGAGAACTCATCTCAGAGAGGAAGGTACTGGCGAGTCTGCTCCCTTGGGATTCGTCACAGGCTTTGCCAAAAGTCAGGAAAGTTCTAAGTTCTTCTCTCTCAGCAGCTGTTATAGGAGGCTGTTGTGATAATTGGCTGTTTGGAGTAAAGATATTTTCCTTGTAGCTGTTTGCCAAAGGCAAGGAGAGTCTGGATATCCATCCTGGGTCTAGCTCACTGAATCTCTGGACTCCAGAACCTGTTATTTTAAACAAAAATTTACTTAAAATAAGCAAAACCTGAAAAATTATGGATAGATAATTACAATGACAGTACTTTTATGTTATCTATTTTGAAAGCAGGGTTGTTTAGAGCCGCAAATACAAAATAAAAGGACATTACGTATATGCACTTTTGGTAGCTTGACGGTGGAAGTCCTCACGCTCTGCATGAGGACATCCAGCGTCAGTAAAAATCCCCATAGAAAATCATTCCTGCAATGTTCTCATATTGGGAGATTCTAAAGCACTTATCCTTCCAATTCCCCCCCACTCCCCCTGTCGCGTAACATCGGAACAGGAGATCGATACTGGAATCGTGTGAGTATAAAAAGGGCTGGGGGACTCCCTTTAAAAAGGTTAAAAGAGTCCCTGTGGATGTAAAACATTTTCAAATACAAAATATAAGCAATGAAGAACTAAAAATCTAGTACATTATGGTGTATGCCTTTCTGAAAAAAATAGGTTTCAAGTTTGTTTTGTTCATTGTATCTTATTAAATTAATAATTACCTCCACATGGCCTCAATAGTGTCTCCAGACTATCCTCTATCAATTGATGACTGGAGGGCAGATCAGCTCCAGGCTCAGAGTCCAAGTCTCCTGCTTCACTCTCACCATGACCACTATCCTTTGTACTCTGCCAGTCAGCATCCTGTCCTGCAGATCTGAAGAAGAATTTAGTCATTAATAGAGATCATGCATACTCTGTGTAAAGTTTTTTTTTCACAAATACATACTGATGATATCACTCTTAACACTCCAAAAAAATACAGCTATTAACCAGAAAGTATGCTTCTTCTGTATAATGTTACTTTTTCTTAATTTATCACTGTGTTACTGTGAACAGAAATGTATGTGCCTAGACATAGCGTAAAACAAATATATGTTTAAAATGTGCACACAAAAAAATTCTTACAAATACATATAAAAACATTCAGATAACCAACATACTCAGGATTGCCTTCCTATACAGTATCACAAAGCACATAGAAAATGGATATGCTTCTTATAATAGGACAATTTTGATTAAGTTGCGCATGTGCCTTTAAAAACATTTTGTACGCTTGTAAAGGTACTTGTTTTTGCTTTGTTTTATTGCTGCTGAAATCACCTCTTTGATTGTAAAATATTAATAAATTCATAAATAAAGAATTTAAAAAAAAAAAACTACAATTCTCTGTATTGGTTCCATTAAACAGTAGCAATTTCTCCAAGTGACTCAATTATCAGTGAGCCTAATCGTTCTCTGTTCTCACAAATGTAAAAAATAAGGAGAAGAAACAAAGTAGATGTAAAAATCATAGAAAAAAAACTATGTAAAGAAATTACTTTGCAAACACCCACTAAGGGGACTTATTGACTAAATGTCTCTGTGTCTAAGACAGCATATGTTATATTATTCCTTGTGAATCTCTCATAGCGTTACTCGTTCAATTAAAAACAAAATAAACTATAAGAAAAGGACAAAAATAAAGAAAAAAAAAATTGTCTTGAAAAAATATGAGAGAAATGCCCCATCCATTCAGCTTGTATTAATGGGAAAAACATCTATAAGGTAACATGTTAGTTTCAATATTGAAAGATCTCACCCATGTGTGGCAACCAGGCCTGTCTGTATATTTTCTCTGTTAACTAGTGGCCCCTGTGAAAACTGCGCTTGGGCTCTGGCATCCCTTCAATGGCCCTAAAGTTTTTTGTCATAGGTATAAATGTGGCAGACCATGACTAGCCATAAAGTGACCTTAGGTAGTCATCTAGGGCCCAGAGGTTAGATGTCGGCTGGATTCCATATGTCCAAGTTTTGCTTAGTATGTACTCTATGATCAAGGGCTGCTTTTACACACTGTATTAACTGGAAACTCGAGTCACCAAAACAACTTTAGCATAATGTCGCAGTTTTGGTACAGAGATCATGCCCCTACAGTCTCACTGCTCAATTCTCCGACATTTAGCAGTTAAATCACTATGTTTATGCAGCCCTATGAACACCTACCTGCATGTGACTTACACAGCCTTCCTAAACACTTCCTGTAAAGTGATATCTAATGTTTATACTTCATTTATTTCACAGTCTGTTTAATTTAGAAATTTTTATCTCCTGCACTGTAAATAGCTTGCTAGACCTTGCACGAGCCTCCTGTGTGTGATTACAGTTCAATATACACAGCAGGAGATACAAACTTGTGCTTCAGCAGCAGGTTCCTTTGTTTATTGGGTATCTTTACATAATGTTGTCTAGCTTTCAAATATGCCTCTTGAAGCTTGGTCTGCAGTAGAGGTGGCTGAATACAAGCACATTAAAAGTAATTTTTCAACTCAAACAAGCTAAGATATTTTTTTCCTGATTAGCAGTTGTGCCTTCATTTCAGCAAACTAATTGTCAACACCATCAGTTTTTGTGAATTTCTTTGCCCACGAATGTGTTTTGTTACCTGACAGATTTAGAGGAATACTTGTTCCCTCTATGAAGAGTCCTAGGATGAACTTGTCCTTGGTGAAGCAAAGAAAGTAGTTGCGAAATTTGCTGTAAGACATAGCAAAACAAACAAATATTACCTTCAATGAAAAATAAATTGCTTTATTATGTAAATGCAGAGTACCAGCAAATTGTAGAAGATTATTGAGTGGTTGTAAACTTTCTGAATAGATGGGCTTTTGGACCCATGTTTAATAATTGTGAAATATGGGGGGCAGTTTTCTAGATCCACTTTGCCTTCTTAAAGCGGTATTCGGCACCATAGCTACTACAGAGGGTTGCAGTTGCTATGGTGCAAGGAGACACCTGGAGGCAGTGCTACCTTTGTAAGTTGTCACATGCTACATGTACAGTTTGACACTTACCCAGGTCTAATGGGTGCCTGCAGTCCTTCTTGTCTCTTCTGATATGCAAAAGTAGACGTTCAGCAATAACTAGCAATTTAGTGAAAATTTGGACATTAGTCAGCTAACACTCTGAGATGATAAATAACGTCCAAAGTTGTACATCTATTGTTAGCATATCAGTGCAGACTGGACACAACCATAAATGTCAAACCTTTTATAAACTATTTGACAGCTTACAGTGGGACTGCACCAGGGGACACCTGGCACAATGACCAAAGCACTGTAGTGGTTATGGTGCTTACAGTGCCACTTTAACAACATATATTATTTCTTTGTGATTATGGACAGCACATGAAAAGTTCTGTCCTTTAATATGAAAAATTCATATGCTGCAGGCATGAAATAGCTTAGGAATTCTCCTCTTTTAATTGACTGATTTCTTGCCTGCTGTATTTAAATACTATGTACTTCAGGGCAACTTGTAGCATTCAATGCACAACAGCATGAAGAGGTGATTTTTATCCAGGGAAATTATGCATTTTACATCCCTTTTGAGGGCGTCTCTGACAGAGTGATAAGTAATTGCAGAGGAAGGGTGAAGCATGCATGACGTCCTGGGACATAATGTTTCTGAATCATCTTATTGAAAAAACAAAGAGGGTGGTTTGGAGAGGATTTGGAAACAGAAGTGGACTTATAGAGGAGTGTAGAGTTATAAAGGGTTCACATCAGGACCTAAAATTTAACCAAATAAACTCTAGGACTTTGACAGTATTCTTTTAGGTCCATTGTGCTATCTCTAATTCTTCCCTACAGAATCACTGCCTTGCCACTGATGTCCCCTTTCTTTCACCCCCATCATCCAATAAATCTCTACATCCTGCCGCTATAATCCGTAAAACTTTGCATGTAAGCTTTGTTCTATGTAAAAAAAAATTATATATGTTGTGTATTAATATGTCTTTGTATTTTATTGTACCCTATTATAACGATGCAATGATTAGTGGACCCAGGAAATATTTGAAAATGAGAGAAATCTCAATGTATCCTGGTAAAATATTTTATAAATAAATAAATACATGTTCCAGAAACACCTGAAGCTTGAGTCCCAAGAAAATTCAATGACCGCCACACTAGCAGAGAGAAGGTGGTCTGTCAGAGAACTATACTATTGAGCTTTCGTTTTATAAAAGAGATCAGGGGCTAAATAACCCATAAAGCCCACCCTAACAACACGTATGAGCAAGCGCTATATAAGTATTAAAGGGACACTATAGTCACCTGAACAACTTTAGCTTATTGAAGCAGTTTTGGTGTATAGAACATGTCCATGCAGCCTCACTGCTCAATCCTGTGCCATTTAGGAGTTAAATCCCTTTGTTTATGAACCCTAGTCACACCTCCCTGCATGTGACTTGCACAGCCTTCCATAAACACTTCCTGTAAAGAGAGCCCTATTTAGGCTTTCTATATTGCAAGTTCTGTTTAATTAAGATTTTCTTATCCCCTGCTATGTTAATAGCTTGCTAGACCCTGCAAGAGCCTCCTGTATGTGATTAAAGTTCAAATTAGAGATTGAGATACAATTATTTAAGGTAAATAACATCTGTTTATAAGTGAAACCAGTTTTTTTTTCATGCAGGCTCTGTCAATCATAGCCAGGGGGGGGTGTGGCTAGGGCTGCATAAACAGAAACAAAGTGATTTAACTCCTAAATGGCAGTGAATTGAGCAGTGAAATTGCAGGGGAATGATCTATACACTAAAACTGCTTTATTTAGCTAAAGTAATTTAGGTGACTATGGTGTTCCTTTAACAATAATGATAGTAGCTTTCACTTCTGGTAATATATGCTGTGGTTGGTTTGTTTAAACATGTATTTCAGGAGGAAAGTTTTCACTGGTGTAACAATGCAATTGATGTTTCCTCAGACAATTTGTAAACATAGAATGTATTTATTAGTTATTTATGTGTGAGTTCTATGACAGTGGCAGAGTGAGCTCTCTGGCAGTAAACTCCTTTTCAGTGGCAGCGTGGGTTTAACAGACACTCCAGCATTAGTAGTGGAGGCAGGGAGCGGAGCATGTTGGATCCCAGGTAAAAATGGTTTGACTTCTTACAATGGAAAGGTTCCCCTTAATGCAATACCCAAAGCACCATAACCACCAAGGTGTCGTGGCACACTCCCATCCTTGTAAGTAGTCAATCTATTTTAGAAAGTATAGCTTATTACCTGGCAAATCCACTACTTCTGTCAGAAATCAGAAAGCTCCTAAGCCAGTGCTTTTGTTAAAGGACCACTATAGTGCCAGGAAAACATACTCGTTTTCCTGGCACTATAGGGTCTCTAGGTCCCCCCCACCCTCAGGGCCCCCCTCCCGCCGGGCTCTAGGGGGAGGAGGGGGATAAATCTTACCTGTTTTCCCCCGCCGAGCTCCCTGGGTGCGGGGAACTCTCCTCCTCCTTTTCACCGTCATCAGCTGAATGCGCATGCACGGCAAGAGCCGAGCGCGCATTCAGCCAGTCCATAGGAAAGCATTCTCAATGCTTTCCTATGGACGCTGGTGTCTTCTCACTGTGAAAATCACAGTGAGAAGCGCAGAAGCGCCTCTAGCGGCTGTCAATGAGACAGCCACTAGAGGCTGGATTAACCCATAGGTAAACATAGCAGTTTCTCTGAAACTGCCATGTTTACAGCAGAAAGGGTTAATCCTAGATGGACCTGGCACCCAGACCACTTCATTAAGCTGACGTGGTCTGGGTGCCTATAGTGGTCCTTTAACTCTCTGCTGAGCTAAGTCCTACAGTGCAGGGCTAGCTTATTGACTGAGAGTGTCAGCTGTAACTTTCTGCCTGATTTAGTGGAGGCAGCTAGCAGTGCCCGGCAGACCACTACTATGAAGTCAAATAGATCTACTACTACAATAGGGTGCGTCAGGACATTTATGCACCATAACCACTACAGTACACTACACTGGTAATGGTGCTTGGAGTGTTAACTCCATATAACAGTGTTGCGTGTATCCCATAAAGCCATCAAGTGCTTTAAGGGCACAATAGGAGTATGTAGACCAGCTGTCAGCTTTCTACTATAGAAAACTGCTAACAGCTAAACTAATGCTTACAGAAGCCCAAGTAATGTTATCAAGTAAAGCTGTTTTACCGAGCAAGAAGGGAAAGACTGCACTTTGGAAGTAAATCAAATAAATTGTGGGCTTCAGATGCAAAATGAATAAAAGAAACCTACCCAACATAGCTCATTTAAACTAGCTCACACACTGCATCTACTGTGGGTGTCGTGAGTGATCCTTTAAGGATTCAATTGGGGATCAGTACTAGAACCATTTTCAGGAGAAGTCATATTTTTCTAGTGAGCTTTTGATGGGTTAATATGTGGAAACATCATTAGTCAGCTGATTTAGTTTCCAGGTATGCGCATGGGTCATGGCTGTGTGACAATTGCTGCTCTTGATCTGAATATTATACTTGGCCAACAGCAGCTGCCTGAGGAAAATCGGAAGCTGCAACACAGGATATTACTGTTTTAAGGTGGCCATGCTTCCTCCCAGCTGTTTAGTTCAGCTAGCCAAAAAAGACCGGAGACTGATTCATTCAATTTATGATATTCATTCAAAGGGCCACTTTAACAAACATTACCTCTACCACACAGTGCAGTAGTTTTGGTGCTGTAAGTCTATGAATGCCATGACAAAATAAACATACTTCTCTCTCCAGTACCAATAGCCCACCCTCCGAATGTGCACTTATAAATGTTTATGGTGTTTAAAGAGCCCCTTCAAGCACAATCAATATATGCAATATATTATAATGTTCATATCAGGAGTTGTTTCATACACCATACACTGTGCTAGCTAGCCAAGTGGCTAGTAAACATATAGAGATGGAGTTTAGTTATTGTACCATACTGCTTTTACTTTCTAAATATACCCACCGACATGTAGGCCTAACACAGCATGCTTTGCAGTTTGTCATAG